TTTTGTCTTTGTGTTTCTCCTTCTCCTTCTTAGGGCCATCTCCATCTCTGGTTTTTATCTTGATGGAGCCCTCAGGCAGAGTATAGTCTCGCTGAAGAAAAAGGTCATCATCCTTCATTCCAAACTCCTTCCAAGGCATCTTGCCATCCTTGGAAAAGTCCTTGTTTTTATCCCGGTTCTTCTCCTTGTTCTTCTCTTTCAGCTTGCCCTTTTCCTTTTCCCGGTCCTTGTCTTTTGGCTTGTCTTTCTCCTTTTTCTTCATTTTAGTTTTGAGCTCCTTCTTCAGCTTTTTCTTGACATCTACTGATGATGCCATCTTGTTCTTCTCCTCAAACACCTTGAGCAGAGGTTCAGGAGTAGGCGGTGAGGCTGATCCAGAGGACACATATTCGCCTTGGTTTGGCGGGGGTGCGGACGGACCCCCCTGGTTGACCTTTCGGATCACCTCATTGATTGAGTCATCCATAGTCCAGTTTCCTAGGCCTGCATGTGCATGTAGGTGAAGTGGTGTCGATGTATCTTTTACAGAGTTGCCGGGCCCAATCAGGACTTTAGGCGTAGACGGCTCCATGATGGTCAGCCTCCTGGGGCTGGAGAATCCATTGCTATCTGAATCAGAGCCCGAGGAGAAAGCAAAAGGATCAGGCTCCCGCTCAGCACATGCTCTAGCAATCACAGCATCAATGGAGTCATCAATGGCTGTATTATCAGGCTCTAGTTTCTTGAAGGGGCCCTCAGATAACTCCCTGTCCTCTATATTCAGACGCATATGGATGTTTTCTTTGCCCATCCTCTCACTCAGTGCAGACAGCGGTAGCTTATGCACACCTTCTGTCTTGCTCTGGGGTTGGGATGCTTTAGCTGAAACCATCTTTGGGCTCTTGGGGCTTTTAGGACTCTTCGTCCTCCCTGGGGATTTCTTTCTTTCCTTAGACGGTTTTGGAGAATGGATGGGACTACCACCCACCGGAACAGGAATGACCCCTTTAGGGGACTTAGTCCGTTGTCTGCCAGGGGATGAAACCTTAGGCTTTCTTCCTGGAGTGGTGAGGCCCTTTTGATCAGAGTGTTTTGGTACTACTGGCTGAGGTCTGAAGGGAGCCAGGGCTCCAGAAGGTGTTTCAGGTGACATGGGGTCAAGGCTATCATGAGAAGGCAGCATGCCTGGAGGAACACGTTGAGGGTTAAGAGAGGTAAGGGGCTCCCTGGGCTCAACCCCCCATTCTGGGCTGAGGCCAGGGTACATGCGTGGTCTCTTGGAGGTAGGCATCATGCCCATAGCTGCATCAGGACTGTCCAGGTGCCTCTTCAGCGGGTGGTTCTCATCGTTGACCGTCTCGTCGTCGTCCATGTCCTCCTCATCCTCTTCCAGTGGCACCTGCATAGCTTCAGCTGAGGTGCCCATGTCAGGAAGGACTTCCTCCTCCTCCTCTTCTAGAGAGGAAAGAGACATAAAATGAGTTGAGTTTCAATTCATCTCCAAGGATTCCCACAACAACACTGGTTTTAAAACATATACATGGTTATTATAATGGCCCAAAGATATAGTTTTATACACTCAGTTGCCAGTTTATTAGGTAAGCCTAAGTTAAAACTAGAACCGCAGTCTAATACAATCCTACCTTCATGAAGGATAAAATTTTAACGAGATATGTTGACTCAACTTTATGATAATTTTGTAGGATGTAGTTTGTAGGACTATAACGGTTATGAAACTGAGATGGAAACCGCGACACTGAAGTCCACAGTGTCGTGTCGGGGATCCGAGAGACAGAACCGCGACACTCCCGCTCCATCAGCAGTACATTTCATAAAGTCACCGTATTTACTAAATTGCCGCGTGACTTTGTTTTCATCTGCGCCGCATGTATATGGAAACCGAAAGTAAAATGTCCACTTAATATAATATCAAATTAACATCTCTTTCTCTGTGTTTCCCTGCAAAATGCTAAAATGGTCGGCAAATATACTTTGGCAGGTGCTAATATACCTGGCCTGCCCGTTCAAGTAAAGTATATGTCGAAATCACTGTATTTAAAGTTAGTGCAAGCTGTAGGCCAATATTTTGTAAATATTACACTTCTACCAATTTTATTTTCCTCCAACTGCGTCTCGTGAATATTTTGGTCCAGTCATGATTGAGTGATCTTGGAATATAATAATAATAATGCCCACCCACCCACCGGAAAAAAACGGGGTGGGGTGGGGGGGGATTGGGTGTAGTAGTTTGTGGTGCTACTGAGCTGTTCTGTGTTAATCTGAGAGGTGTTTCTAATGTGTAGTCCATCCTCAGTGATATAAATGGAGATGATAAAATACTGGAAAAAAACAAACCAACAAAAAGCGATAAATTATAAGCATCATAGCAACACAGTATAAATTGCAGGGCTGTTTTGGGCTGCATTAGTTATAGCTAGATAAACCCAAATACTGGCAAGTGAGTGCATATTTGTATTATGTATATTCAACTGTGGATTAGTTGAGACATTTAAACTATAGAATATCGACCTCTGGGAAACACTGGCTAAACACGCACACAGATGTTCATATAGCAATTGTATGCACTGACCTTCTTGTAAGGAGACCAGGGGTGGCATGTAGTCTGGAATGTAATCCTTCCTTTCCTCTGCATCTCGAGCTCCAGGCTGGGGAAACTGCAGAACATTGTTTTTGCTAACAGGAAAGAGTGGCGTTTGATGGGTGAAGGCCACAGGCTCCAGGTTGTGGACATAGTCCTCCAGTTCACTCAGACTCACTCCAAGCAGCCTGAAGGCCTGGCTGACATCATCCAGGACTGGATCTGTTCTTCCATCTAAATTGCAGCATCAAAACAAGCCATTAAACCTCAGCACATACTTTGACTGCCTCTTGTTCACTAAAGTATACTGTCAGCGTTGATTACAGGTCAGCAGTTTGACTACATACTAATGCTTGTGCTGCACATACAAGGAGGTGCTCTGACTGATGCTGCATCAACACTCAGCCTAAAGTCAACAGGTTTCAGATTGATAGACTGATCTTTTTATAGTGCTTAGGTGCTAATGCATGTGACATATACTATGTACAATGTGTTGACCAGACGCTGGAAAGCATCACAGACACAATTATAACAATACAGGGACGCTGCTTAGCTCTGTAACTGACGTTACTGTACTTTTTGACACATCAACCTTTTCTAGGGGGCGCCAGCTACAGAGGTAGTCAACAACAACGTGATCGACTACTTCAGGTTTATGGGCTAAAAAAGTAATCGGGGTAGCACACGAAGCACTTACAGAGCTCAGAGTACCGATGGCAGGCCCTGGCCAACTGCTGGATATATCGATGCAGCACATCGGACAGCAGATCGCACGCAGTGAGCTGAACCGCATCCCAGCCCAGAGCCTGGCAGATCTGCGCCACCGAAACACGCAGCAGCGAGCGGGCATAGCTCTCGCACATCTCGCTGACTTTGTTACGGTATTAAACCCGGTCAGTTCCTATTCCAAAACATGCTCCCGGTCTTCATGTTTCACGGAACCCCAGAGGGGCTTGAGAAATCCCGCTACCGCGGTTAATTTTGGACATCTACTTCAGTAAATATGTTGGCGCTTTCGCCAGAGTCGCCATCTTGTTTCCATCGATAGACCCATCCCCGAAGTCTAGATCTCGCATGCGCACAAGTCTCTGCGCTCGGCTGTGCTCGAGGGGTTCATCAACGGCTGACGATGCGCAGGAGCTCAAAGTAACGTTAGTATTTAAAATGTAGCCACTAAGTTACTGTATGTACGATTTTGTTGGATCGGTATAGTGTTCAGACATTGTATTCATAGCTGAAAAGGACGGCATTTAAAGGGTTTATCAGCGATTTGCGCGGGAAAAGTATTAACGTACAAAACACATCGACGACTTTCGGTTTTAGCGTTTCATTGCTATGTCACACAAGTCGGAGAAAACAGTCGACGATCTCTGAGTCTGTCACCGCAAAACTTTATTGATTGAACAAGTTGAAACAGTTTAGTTCAGCTTCTGTTCAAGGATGAAAGTAGTGCAGAGTGTTAGGACAAAAATACTACCCATTTATAGTTAAACGTTTTGATTAAAAACGACAAGCGATTGGGTCAAATTTAATTTCCTGTTGTTGGTGTTTTAGAATACCAAGCAGGCAGTGACTTGGACACATTCTTGCATTTCTAAAAGCGTAAAATCTTTGGCCTGATAAATGATTAATCAATTGATCTAATTTATTGTCTCACTCATAATGGTCGCAGATTACTCAGCAGTGGTTTCACGGAAGGTAAAGTAATCTGCCTATAGTGGGTGGTTGCGGATACAAATCCAGCCAACCTTAATTGCCCCAAAGTCTCAACTTTCTTAGAGCTGGACACACATTTATTTAGAATATCTCCAAGTCTTTATTTGGTCCATTTTATGAAGAATTTGAACACTTTGCTCCTTCACATTTTATCTTCTGTGCTGCTGCTGTCATGTCCCAGACACAGTGCTGATGAAGAGATCTTTATTCTCAGTGAGGCCCTCTCCTGGTTAAATAAAGTTCTTTCGTCATACTTTTATGTGTCACTTTATCAACACACACTGTTATTATTTGACTGTGCATACATTTACATCCTGGCTATTTACTTAGAATACTACATCTCACACCAGTCAGATTTCACTTTGTTTTCATTCATTCACTGTCAATTTTAATTTTAGCGGAGTTGCAAGGCTGAAAGAGAAACAAGATTAAAATAAATTATGGTAGGAGATCCATAACATAATAAATACCTCTACATGCACATAGAGAACAGATTAACTTGATTTTCCTTGCCAAAACCAAGTTTACATTCAAGCCTACATTCATTTTTTAGTTGTGTAAAGACTTATTTGAGAAGATTCCTTTTACAGCAAGATGGGGTGCACATCATCCTTCCATTGTAAACAATGTTGTAGGTCTTTTTGCTGTAAGGGTGGTAAGTGTGAACACATTGTAGTCAGGAAGAGCAGATGTTTCAACCAGTATGACGATTGTTAATATAGAAAAACTATTTATTTTCAGTCATTGCACTGAACATTGTGAATGCAATGATAACTTAACATGTTTAGAACTTAGTGATGATGTTAACTTGTTGTTCAAACAATTTAACACTCATGAGTTAAGAATCACTGTCTAACATAACAGTGTACAGTAGTATACATAAATGTCAAAAACACACCACTTTGAACAGCCTAATTTAGCTTTGTTGCAAGGCTTGGAAAAAGTATTATTTTTATCTAAAAAGAGACCAAAACTTTGAACACAAAAAGTAATAATTAAACAAACACTACTAATGCTTGTGCTACAACTGTATAAAGTCAGGATTGTCAGGGAAAAGACAAAATATACAAAATGTGACAAAAAATGATCTTTATGTTTACAATTTACAATACAAATACAGTATATACAATTCACCTGCCAGTATATTGGAATTTTTGTCCCTATATTCATTAACTGAATAAAAAAAGAAAAATATTAAGATTACTGCATACAAAAGAGCTGAACCTAAACAATAATATATAGTATGTTTGAAATCACCATTACTGGTTAATTACTGGTTTCTCCGTGTATTCAGTGAGTTTCTGACTGCTGGGTACCTTAAATAAGCACAAATGAATTTTGTCCATCTTAATATTTCCAGGTCAGACTGTAAATGTTTTGCTTGGAGAACATGTCAGGAAAGAGTTTGCAGTCATTGTTAAAATTCCATTCTTTCCAAATGTGCTGTCTGTTGTTGTATCTGTAAGAATAAGAAAAACATGTCATTCCTTGCACTCTACATGAACTAAAACGGTTACATGTTAAGCCACATTTGCATTTACACATTTAGCTGACGCTCCAAAGAGACTTGGAATTTCTATATGTTAAATGTTAAGTGTCTTCCTCAGGGAAACATTGGTGTATGTGTCACAGTGGGAATCTTATCCAGATCTCCCACACCAAAGGCATGTGACTTTTGGGGATTTAAAAAAAAGTCCAATTAAGTCCAATTAAGCACTGAAAGCAGTCAGGCTTAATTATATATTAAATCATGAAAACAACATCTTCAAGATAAACCACAGTGTCATGTGACTCATTGAATGTAAATGTACAATTAATGTATTTGTGCAGTAGTTTCTCACCTGTAATAAAAACAGGGTAACGGGCTGATATATTCTGGACCTGCAAATGGACCAAACATGTGAGATAGTCAGGCTGATCTCTTGACGTGAGGTCACACTCATGGTAAGGCAGCACCTCCACTATTCCAGCTTCTTGGCACCAGTTTAGGAAGTGCTTCTTCTCTTTTGCCTCTGCACTCAACCTGGATGTGGGAAGAGCAAACATAATGTTCAGATAGACAAGATTTTAACAGAAAGGTTTATATAAAGTGCACAATCAGCATCAGTTTTTAATAAAAGCAATATAGCAAACTGTGAAAATCTGGGAAATAGATCGAGAGGATACATGGAGATAGGGCCTGATGGTAGGAGGTCTGTTAGATATGCAGTGGGCAAATTTACACACTACAAAATTATACACATATTATACACCAGTATACTTAATAAAAATAGCCTCATAGATAAATGAAGCAGCTACTTCATTTGATGAGGGAATGTTCTTTTGTCTCTCCTTTCTGGAAACAAGTAATTAAAAGTCTTGGAGGGTGGTTGTATAAACCATTGCCAAAATCTCCCAGCTGTGCTTGTTAGAAGAGAGGTCTCTCCTACCAAGAAGTGTACCCAAACAAGAATTTGGACTTGCACTGGCAGGCTTTAGTGGCACTTCCAAGGATCGTTCTCTGCAATTGGATGTCAGACAAAGCCTGACTTTTCTGGTTAAACTACCTGGTGACATATATTATGAATCTATCAATCTCTACAAGGACTAATAATTACTAAAGAAAGTTTTATGAAGTTTGGTCAATTTTGTAATATGTTGTATATAAAGAAATAAACATAACATAGTAAATATTCCTAATTTATTTTGAAATGTAATTTTTGCCAATAATTAAAATGTGCCATCTCATTTAACTTTACTCATTGCCACTTTTTCTTTGTTTTTCTTATTGTACTTCTGTTCTTTTGTGATACTTCTATGTATAGATGTGTTTTGTTGGGCTTGTTCTATTACCTGTTCTTTATTGATTTTTTGTTGTTGTGCGTGTGTGTATGTGATTTAGCTTTTGGAAAAGCTAGCAAATCAAAACTTACATAAAAGACCAGCTATTAGAATACCTGTAACCTGCTATTGAGGGAAGTGAGCAACAAGAGCTTTTCTGTAGTTATTTTTCAACATTGATCCTACCTTGCATTCTCTTTCAGCCGACGGCTGTCTCTGTAGTGCAACATCCATTTCCACTTCCCCGTTCTGCTTAGCTCTTGCAAGATTTCTGACAATTTTTTCATGTTGCCTTAAGATTCATACAAAGTAGACATCATGAGTTAAATTGGGATGAATTAAAAGAGAACAACAATAAAGCTGGTACTCCGTTGAAAGTGCACATACAAAGGCTGAGGGACTCCAGTGCTGCTCTGTCGATCATTATAAAACCACCCCTGGTGAAGAGCTCCTGATGGGTAAGATTCACAACATCATCTGGTTCGTCAATTCCAGCAAACTGCACACCTGGCGACTTCTTCAGGTTGAGCAAATGTGGGACCTGACAGAAGGCGGCAGAGTCATTAATTCCTGATTGTTTACTGCAAAAGTCCTGTCTTTATCTTTTTCACCAGCTGATCAATTACCTCACAAATGTGCTCTGCAATGTCTTCATTCCTGAGGATGATGAGTAGCGATGAAGAACTATCCTCACCCAGGAAGAACTCAGATGGCTGTACAGCAGTATGGCCTTCTGCCTCCAACTGTGCCTTTTGAAGACCAAGGAGAGATTATCCAAACTTTAAAAGCCATTTTCCATTAACAGGCTTTAACATTAAAAATTAGTCCCTTCTCTTAACTTGCTATAGTATATCTGGGGAGTATGTACATGGGTTATTAAAGGACTGTATGATATCACTGAATTCAGCATTCATTTGATTCCTACTTAATGTCTCCTCAGTGACCTCTTAATATCAACCAACAACAACAACAACAACAACAACAACAACAACAACAACAACAACAAGACATTACTTTAAAAAAGACAAATGATTAAGTTGTAAGCTGATATATGGGAATATATGAGTGTCAGTCATAACCTCTTTTAAACCCCACTTTAGTTATATTTAGTTAATGATACCCCACCAAAAATGTGTTTCTTGGTTATGAAAACACGAAGCCCCATAGGCTTGAAAAAGAGCAGTAAAATGTTTGCAGTTTTCTCTCTGTTTTTTTTTTGTAAATATAATAATGAAATGCTCATTTTCGTCCCAGTGGTACAGCATAGGATGTTAATGTCTGTGTTTGATTGACAGCACCTGGCAGACTGAGGCAGAGGAATGAGAGACAATGGCTGTATTCAGAACCGCCTACTACATACTTCCAGTGATTGTAGTCTGCAGTACTACATACTGCCAGTTTCTGGTTTTGGAGAGCAGAAGTAAACAATAGAACAAATATAAATTACCACTAATAACATTTTTTTCTAATTTAATCTTGTGTTAGGAGAACATATGGAAGATACGTAACTTTATTGTTAGCTGAATTTGTCCTACTACACAAAAGGCCATAATGCTTAAGTTAAAGTTAAGTTACTTAGCAAGCTGTCAACAAGAAAACAACACGACATACAGAACTTAAATCTAATGAGTTATATTTTTTATTATCAAAGACAGTAGATTCCTCCTTGTCCACCCCTTGTGATTTCAACAATGACCGGTTGTTGAGACTACCTGATTAAATAATTAAATAACATTTAAAAAAATACTGGTTGTCGTGACCGTTCTAGCCCTTTGCATTATGGGACACAGTAAGTGAGGTAGACTGATTCAATGCATTTTGGAAATATTTTCCGAATCAGTACAACATCCGGGTATTTTTGGCATACTGAAGATTTTGCTTTTGTTTGCATACTGCACACTACATACTACAAATCAGAACATACTATAGTGTAGTAGGCGGTTTTGAATACAGCCAATGTAAGCAATCTTGGGCTGAAGCTTACCAGCCATTGACAGACAGTGTTTTGTAAGCAGTGGTATTGAAGTGTAAAGACCACACCAGCATCTAAACACCCAAAACTAATATTTGCAAGTACATTTACATGCTTTTTAATGTGCTGCAGCTCAGCAGCTAATTTTCAATCTAGCCTGCACACTAAAGTTAGCAGTGAACTTTTCTCTGGTGAATGTTTGTTTAGTGGCTCGTTCAATAAGCAATAAGTGAAGGACAAAACGTGTGTTCATGATTGATCGTAGTTGGATGAGGAGGATATAGTAGCAGCGAAAGAATGCTTTTCAAAAATAGACGTTAATAGATTATATTTGCTAACTCGTGCTAATGATCACCAATTCAATATGTAGGTTGAAACACAATCATTAACTGAATCCCTGGTACACCAATCTGCTGTCCGGAGAAGTCTGATCAGGAGTGGCTTTCTTGGAAGAATTGTGGCCAAAAAAGGCCAAAAATATACCTCCAACATCGAGGTAAGGAACTGGGATGCAGAAAAATGGCAGCAGGTGACTTGGACTATTGAATCAAAATTTGAAATATTTGGCTGTAGCAGAAGGCAGTTTGTTTGCCAAATGTCTGAAGAGCGGTACAAGAATGACTGTCTGCAGGCAACAGTAAAGCCTGGTGAAGATTCCTTGTAGTTTGGGGCTGCATTTCTGCAAACGGAGTTGGGAATTTGGTCAGAATTAATGGACTCCTCAATGCTGAGAAATACAGGCAGATGCCTATACACATTCATCATGCAATGCTATCAGGGAAGCATCTGATTGGCCCTCTCCCTTAACATTCAAACACATTTCATGTGAAGCACATGCAGGAAGTATTGAGATGTATTACCAGTTGCTTTACAAATCAACAACAGTTTACTGCAGCAAATGAACAACAGAAAAGAAACACTGGGGCTCTGGGGTGAGAAGTGAAAGAATGTAGTGAAAACACTACATTTTGATTATGAAAACACGAAACCCCATAGGCTTGAAAAAGAGCAGTAAAATGTTTGCAGTTTTCTCTGTTATGAAGGAAAAAGTTTTTTTTTTTTGTAAATATCAGAAATGCTCATTTTCGTCCCAGTGGTACAGCATAGGATGTTAATGTCTGTGTTTGATTGACAGCACCTGGCAGACTGAGGCAGAGGAATGAGAGACAATGGCTGTATTCAGAACCGCCTACTACATACTTCCAGTGATTGTAGTCTGCAGTACTACATACTGCCAGTTTCTGGTTTTGGAGAGCAGAAGTAAACAATAGAACAAATATAATTACCACTAATAACATTTTTTTCTAATTTAATCTTGTGTTAGGAGAACATATGGAAGATACGTAACTTTATTGTTAGCTGAATTTGTCCTACTACACAAAAGGCCATAATGCTTAAGTTAAAGTTAAGTTACTTAGCAAGCTGTCAACAAGAAAACAACACGACATACAGAACTTAAATCTAATGAGTTATATTTTTTATTATCAAAGACAGTAGATTCCTCCTTGTCCACCCCTTGTGATTTCAACAATGACCGGTTGTTGAGACTACCTGATTAAATAACATTTAAAAAAATACTGGTTGTCGTGACCGTTCTAGCCCTTTGCATTATGGGACACAGTAAGTGAGGTAGACTGATTCAATGCATTTTGGAAATATTTTCCGAATCAGTACAACATCCGGGTATTTTTGGCATACTGAAGATTTTGCTTTTGTTTGCATACTGCACACTACATACTACAAATCAGAACATACTATAGTGTAGTAGGCGGTTTTGAATACAGCCAATGTAAGCCATCTTGGGCTGAAGCTTACCAGCCATTGACAGACAGTGTTTTGTAAGCAGTGGTATTGAAGTGTAAAGACCACACCAGCATCTAAACACCCAAAACTAATATTTGCAAGTACATTTACATGCTTTTTAATGTGCTGCAGCTCAGCAGCTAATTTTCAATCTAGCCTGCAAACTAAAGGTTGGTTTGACTAGTCACTCAAGTTCAAATTACCACCTTATGTGATGTTTGTTCATTTGCCTTTATCTTCACTAAACATGTGACCGTAAATTCAGATTTCTCTCTTATTTTCCTTTCCTGGCCACTGAGTAAGTGTTACATTATCAAAAAATACTTTAGGCGGCATATCACTTTAATTGGTTAAGGAATGCAGGCTATAAACAGTATAGTTAATAAATAGTTAATAGAAAATCTGCATTGGAATTTGGTTGAAAACTCGTCTTACCTTGGTTTCCTCAAAGAAGGCAGCATCTGACGTCACCAGTATGTAGAATCTGTACTTCGTTTTACAGGATTTCTTCACGACGGAATTCAGATTGCTGCGAAAACTCTCATCCATCTCTCTCTTCATTTGATCACAGAAGTCAAAATGGTTACTTGTGGATGGTTCATTCTTTGAGTAACCTCTATCCATTCTTAAGTGTTTAGGTCTAGGTGGGACCTTTTTGACAGCACAAACATCCTTCATCATTGCTTCGTACTGCCTGGCACATTCTGCAGTCACATCAGAAACTCCAGCATGTTCCATTGGGTTGCCGGTACCTTGAGATAGGTTTTGAGGATGCAAAGCCTTTTCTTCCTCTGTTGTGTCTGTCGGGTATTTCCTGTCAGACATGTCTACCTTAATTTTTTGTCCAACAAGTGATGGTACATCCAAGTGATCCACCAAATCCTCCTGCTCTTCTAGACTGGAAAAGTGAACAGTCACAGGACTGGAGCAAGACAAATTCAATTTATCATGTGCATTCAGTGGGCGGATGGGTCCCATCTTACTCCTTTTCAAAAGCTGTTTCATTTGTTCGGAGAAGATCAGGCACTCCTGTTCCATTGATGCCAGAGTGAGGTCATCTTGTAGGCACCTCTGAGAAAGCTGCTCTATTAAAGAATAAGATCTCATCCAACTGGCGTTATAGACTGTACATGAAAGTGAGCTTTGAGGTCCCAGAAAGAGACTGTCATTTATTATGCTATCATTTTTGTGACTCGCAACTGATGTTGATGGGCCTAAAAAGTCTTCCTGATCCATTTCAATGCTCTCTTTAGTTGTTTGCCCAACTCTCTCAACTAAACTATTTTCCAAGAAACCTTGGTTTCCATTAACAAAATTAGAGGAAGTTATTGCAGATTTGTTTGCAGGAATCTTGTTGAATTTGTTTATGTCCCATCCTTCATGTTGATATAAAGGATCTAGAAGTACTAATTTAGCTTTATCCGAGTTAGACTTACCGTCACTAACATTTGATAACCAACTGCTCTTGGAAGAAAGCTCCCTGGCCTTGTGCTTATCTTTTAGTCCTTCAGAATTTCCCATGAGACTTTCTGAGTCTGAGTTTCCATGAGTCTTTTTCTCCAAGAGAATGGAAGCTGGTGTGGTGTATGAGACTACTGGAGTTTTACGTTGTTTAATCTTAAATACACATGACATAACAGAGTTTTCATTTTCTCTGTCTTTAGAGATGCAATCGGCTTGAATTTCTTCACTCTTAGAAGGTTTTACAGCCATGACAGGACGCTGACTGTATGAATTTGGTTCATTACTTAAATTTGTCTGTGATGTTGTTTTATGCTCATCTTGGTCAATATTTGTTTTAACAGCTTGCAAACATTCAGTAGAGGTAGAGGATCTGTGTCCTACAGAGCTCTCCTCCTGTAATACATCTGTTCTTCCAATATAGCGTTGATGAAGTGATAAGTCCGTTTTCTTTAGCTGCAACCTAACACCAAGTACTTGCTCTAATTTAGAGAAAGGTGATGAATGAAAGTGACCCGATGATTCTGTGTGCAGTTCTTGTGAGGTAGAAGGTGACACCGCTGCTGGCTTTGTATTGTTTATTTTCTTGTCCTTAAAGTCAGCTGGGGTGTGGCTTGGGGCTAAGAAAGTAGGGATGTGCTTGATGCTGGTGTTAGGGGTTTGATCAAGAGACCGTTTCAAATCAGCTGTTTCAATCTGGCTGGATTTGTCAGTGTGGTTTGATTTGGAGAGGAACTTGTCTATACATTGTAGAACTCTAAGAGTTCTTAGCTCAAGATCAGGGTGAAGACTACGGTGAGGTTTGGGAAGTTTTCGCTCAAGAGGCATCATCATCTCATCATTATAGGTGTTGAGCTTCTGCTAACACATTTCTCAGTCATGTTTTTGCAGGTGTCAGTACCACTGAAAGCAGAAGTGCTACTACCAGTAGGGCCAGAACAAGTTAAGTACACAAATGGGTTCTCATCTATAGTTGGGGTAGGGCACCGGTCATCAGACTCACTTCCCAAGACCTCTGGCTGGTGAGTTTCAAGTTTTTTGGACAGTGATATTTTGCTAGCAGACAGTTCTGCCTTTTTACTGTACATCTGAGATGTACTATGTACCTCTGTGGGTAGGACAGTTTCACTGATGAATAGTATTTCCTTCTGGCCTTGAACAACTTCTTCAACCTTGCCTTGCGAGTGTGGGTCATGTGGATGTACTGTATCCTCTCCAGAGGCATCTATTCCAATAAATGGAATTACAACCCCACTATGGATCTTTTCCAGAACCTCATTTGTTTGTTGCTTTTGAGATCAGTTTTTTGAGTTAATGCCACTTCAGCTTCACATCTGTTTATAACCTCACATTGAGGTGAATGAGACTGATGATTAAATAGGTCCTTTTGAGTTGTGTTACCAACCTTTTGCTCTCCCTCAATCGATTTGGTATCCTGATCTTCAAGATCATCACTACTTAGAATTAAGTTTCCTGTTACTTTGTTTTGGCTTCCTGTTTCAACACTGTCATTTGTCTGGGGAATAGACCCAGCTGCAGAAGACAATGAGGTGCCCTCATCAGAAATGGGTGTTGCTGCCTTCTGATAATGTGGCTTATGTGCCAAACAAATGTAATTTCCTGAATTTTCCTCAACTGCATGTTCATCATAAATAGGCTCCATTTCTGCTTGAGCGTGATGAGCTTTTTCTGAAATGGCATGTTCATCTGTCAATGCACTGCCATTTGCACAGGGTCTCTCCAAATGATCATCATTGCAGGCATCTTCTTCATTGTCTGCTTGAAGTGTTTGCTCCTCCAATGGTCCTTGGTGATTACACTCTGTGATGCAATCCATCTTTACAGAGTCTGGGCCATCACACATCAAAGGTAATGGTTGACCCAAATTACTTTCACCTTCCTTAGCTGAAACGCAACTGTCTTTCAGTCTTCTTTTCCAAAGTCCATCTTCTTTTCCATAATGATAACCTTCAATCACCTTACCTTCATGTGCTGTACAACAATCCACATCTTCATTAATATTTTCAGCCTTGCCTGGTGAGACTGCTTTAGGTTCCTCCCTAGATAACCACTTCTCATTCTCCAACAGATTTCCATTGCAGACTACACCTGGTTCTTCGTTTGTTGAATCATCACCATTATTAATAATTTTTTCATCTTGGCATGGCTTTTCATTCACTTCCCAGTTTTCCCCATCTTTGGATTCCACTTCATCATGCTCTCCTGTATGAATTACATCACCTGCTTCTTTTTTGGAATCTACCTCTTCATCTGTCATGGATTTAGAAGAACCCCTTCCATGATTTTGCCCTAAACTCATCTCTGTAGCTTCTGAATTTTCAATGCCATCTTTCATAAATTTCTTCTCATTGTTGCATTCATGTAACACGTGGCCAATTCCTGAAGCAGTCTCATGTTTTTTTGGCTGAATGGATTCACTTTCCATCTCTTCCTGTACAGGAATGAATGCTTTATCACATTTAAGAGATGGTACCGTGTGCTCCATGTGGCCAGCTTTTTGTGAAGGGGTACAAGTTGCATTATTTTCATAGATCCTTCTGACACCATTCACCTCATTGATAATCTCTGTAGAGGGTACAATCTTTTTGTAACACTGGAAAAAGAAAGAGAAAACAGAATATAAGAATTACATATTATATAAACTGTCTTTCATTCTGTGAAAACCATGACTGCTGTTTCTCTCTGGTAATGTAGTTTTCAATGTTTTAAACATTTTGCCATGATTCTTCAAGGTCACTATTGATGCACTAGCAATTCAAACAATGAATCCTGGAAATGACAATTACAACAGTAGCTACACGTGTATTATATTACATTGCCTACTATTTAGAAATGTGTGTCAACATCAATAGAAGTATAATCAGGCCAGATAGTTGCTGCCTGACATGCAGGTGTCACATTCGCTGGGTGAGTGCAGCAGGAGTGAGCCCAAACGCAAGACACTTGTGAGCTGAGATGGAGTTCAAGGTTTATTTATCCAACTCACAAAACAGGCAAGACAAAACTCACGGGAACAGGAACTGGTATCATCCAAAAAGCAGGTAACCGGGTAGCAACACAACATCCGACAGGACAGACATGCGATATCCGACAGGACAGGACTGACATGAGACAATGACCGAACAGGGAATGAACAGAAACACCATACATTTATACACAGTGTCTAATGAGCAGGGCAGGAGCAACACAGGTGACTGGGATCAGGGTTAACGAGGCGGAGAGACATAAAGGAAAACAGAGACTAGCAGGCAGGCAGATTACTGAGGGGGGAAAAGACAAAACACAAGTTCCTCAACACTAAACATCAGAGTAATATAAACAAGCGGACAGATCACAAATGAACTAACAAGCTAAGGTAAAACAGAACTCAGACATGGGCAAAACACAGAAGTAAACCGACCAGGAGTGGCACTAAGACAAGAACTAAAACACAGGACAAGGAACACAGACATGGAACAAAAACCCAGACTCCGCAACAAGACACACAGACAGGACTGAAACCCAGACACGCTCAGGACAGGATGGTGACAGCAGGTGCATCAGTCATAACTAAACCAGAATTGTAGCAAAAAGAAAACCCACAAAAATCTTCACTACTCATGTCAAACCAGAGAAAGCTGAATTGGGGTAATTTTGGTACCCATATTGGCATTAAATGAGCCTGCTTTTCTGTCTACTCATCCACTTTGTGCCCACCAATCGCACAGAGCCTTAATACAATAAATAGGCATGAAGGCACTCCCTCTCAGTTGGGTAAATCCCTGTAGTACATAAGCAGTCCATCTGGGGAATGTGTACATTACCAGAGTGTGGCACACATATATCACAAGATGACACTACATCGGGCTCTTGGAACTAAGTATACAAACATCAATACTTTTTTCTGGTATATGGTTAATACAGAGCAAAGGAATCAGCATCTTGATACGATAGATTACTGAAGCTCACCCTTACTTCACCTGCAGATAATCAATTCCTGCATTGACAGGAGTATGCATGCCAACATGATTGAAGGCTTTGCATATCCTGCGTCTGGGAGCTGTGTTGTCATGGACAATAGTTCCTGACCTGGTCTCATTTTGAACATACAAAAACTTTGCACATCTATTTAATGAGACAGGTGGTAGGAGAGGCAAGAGTAGTTTAAAAGTTGCAAATAAACTCCAGCAAACTGTCTAACTTGCAATACTACATTTATTTGCGATGTTAGGTGCTAGACCTTCATTAGCCATAAAGGTCACCAAAGGCCAAACAGGACAAAGCCACTGTATCTGGAATATGGATATAGGGCTCCCTCTTAAAGAGGTGGTTTTATGCTCAGGTTCATAATCTTATTTAGGGGTTGTACCAGAACAGGTTTACATGGTTTAATTTTCAAAACAAAGCATATTTTTTGTCATACTGCACATTACTGCAGCTCCTCTTTCGTATTAGCAATGGAGTAATACATTTTGCCTCTACATGATCTTTGTTGGGAGTTGCACGTGTGCAGTTCCTAGTTAAGGATGATTTACCAATCAGAAGCAGAGTAGGGGGCGCCTGAGAAGCTGGTACAGCTTCGGTTCAGCTGTATACGTTCCCTTACCAGCTTAACAACATGGACTGGAGCAACAGTTTCAGAGTGGTGAGTTATTAATCTGTAACAAATGTATCTTTCATCCATAAAGTTTTAACTGAGCTCTGTCTCTACATCACGGTAACTACTTTATGTCCATTGACTGACTGGAGGGTAGCTAATGTTTGGAATGGAGAGAAGAGGCAGCAGGCGGACGTCTTGTCACTGTGTGCTGCCGCAACTGTTTTTGAGAGCGTGTCGGACTAGCTGCTTGGTGAGCATTATGAAGCGCATTTTGCTGTGTTGTCACAGGGATGAAAGGGAAACGGTTGGACTACAAACGAGCTGTTTTCGGGCAGTTAAGAGCAGTGTTTTCTGTGGGAGATGGGAACTCCCTTTGAACTCACTTTGCAAACCTGTTACATGCACAAAAGAGATATATAACTCAATAAAGGAGAGGGAAAAAGCCAAAAAGCATAATAACACCTCTTTAAATCCAAGCTTTGAAAGAAATCTACACAGGATTGTTTTGTAGCTGGGCCTAGCCCCAAGTGACTATGCCAGTCTGAACCCGAACAAAGATGGGGCCTCTTGTGTCACCACCCACAAGGAAAGGAATAAAGGGTCTGGTATATGTTTGGGCAGCAGGCAAATGTGCAGGCTTTGTCCAAATGAAAACTAGTAGCTCATTTTAGTACAACTGGATAGAAGATGGCCTCTCCTTGTCTGGAGTCATCCAGGGTGCTGGCCTTGTGGGTGTGAGGATACTAACAAGTCCTGACTGTGTGTAGGTTTTCTTTGTGCCTATGTGCCAAATAGTATTTCAGAGTCTTTATATCAGATGGTGGTAGAAACTGGTACATTGACAGAGTAAACCTAAATGGGGAAGGGAATTGAACTCTTAATGTCCGTCGGAGGTCTGTTTCGAACCAGCCGGCCAAAAGGTCTGAGGTGATTTGCAGTGTCAATCAGCTGGCATTTGAGTTTGTGACTCCCATTCAGATGCCTATTACTACATGACAAGCACACAAGCCGGGTCCTTAAATTGTTCTGTATTCTAAAGACCATCTGTAATTCATGACAAAGACATTAACATGATAGTTTATCTGTAATGTAATAGTAACATTAGAACCAAACCTGAGATTTGCTTGCCTCCTGTAGTCCCATGGATGACTTGAACGTGTTCAATGGTTCACCAGCTTCTTTCAGTTCACCCACCACAGAAGTGTTTTCTGTCAACTTGTGGCTCTGAAGTGACAATCTTTGCATTGGAGTCTCTCTGTGACAAGTCCAAAATAACACATTCTTCGTCCAAGCCAGACTTAACTTTTTTGCTAAGGTCCAAAGCGTTTGAAATTGAAGGGTCTGAAGAGTCTCTTACACTCAGGAAAGGAGAACATGAATTGTCCTTGAACACTATTCCACTGGACATTTCCAAAAAAGCACTCTCTTCTGTACATGAGTTTATAGAGTTCGAGTCAATTTGAAAGAACCTTTCTGTTGAACGGCTGTAGAACAGACCTATCCACATGTGGACGATGAGCTGTACCTCTTCACTGGTGTCTTGAATGGAATAATCCCATGGGCTATCGAAGGTGTACAACGAACAAAAATGAACTCTTTCAGTTGAATAATTGATAAATCGTCATCCTATTTGTTAACTAAACACAGGTATAGAACTGAAATTATGTGAAATTGTAATACATTTTTTACTTTTATATTGAGATTCGTTGAATAAATAAGAAACAACATACATACCCATGCAAGGCTCGGATGATAGCTCTATCCTTTGAGTCACTAGTAAACTTGCTGTCTAGATTAAAGTCATAGTTCTCCTCCATTGCTTTGTGACTTGGACAGATCCATTCTTGATATCAAAGGTACGGGAGTGCCTGAACTTTCTTCTGCGTACCATGCGTTTACTCAGGTATTCTGGAATCATGTGGTGTTCACTGCGGTCTTCCTGACAGACAGAGGGTTGTAGTGTTTTTATTCCATCGCCATACATTGTCTGGTGATGATGCAGCAGTCTGGTAGAACCACTTAAAGGGGATATCTGCAAGGGTGTACCTGACAAACCCAATAGTAGAAAAGAAGATGGGGGCAATGAGTAAGCATGTTCTTTAGATACCAAATCAACCAATTCACTGCCTCCCACAAGATGGCTTGGTGAAGGAGAATCAAGAGACTGAATGGGTCTAGCAGCAGGCTGTTTAAGCAGAGCATGAAGAACTGACTCTTGTTCAGCACTGGTAACATCTTTTGTAAGGTCACACTTCTTCAAACTTGTCTCAGGCTTTCTCTCAAGTGCTGGGTCTGGTTGTGGTGGAACCTGGTCATTACTGGCACCGAGTGCCAAGTCAGCAAGTAAGTTCAAAGCATCTGTAGATGAGCAAGCACTGTTCATTTTTTCCTTAACAGGGTTCCTGACAGAATTATCCCTAGTACACTCTTTGTTTTTGAGTTTTTCACTTGCAAAAGAAGCTGGGGTTTGAAAATGCAACCACCCTGTGAAGACAAAACAGAGGAGAAAAAAGAGAAACTGCATGAAAATAGAAAGTAGCACATTGAAAGCATTTAAAAAATAAAATATACCAATACACTAATAGGAACTTGTCACTAACCAGTAAACTATGCCATTGTTTCAAACACAGAGATTGGTTTATTAAGCCAATAATGTCACTTTGGGTGCAGATGCATAGGACTGGCAAAATGCAGCATAAGCAAGAGCAAAAGCAAATTAAGAACTAGAAATACATAGCAAAGCAAATTGCTAGCATGCTAAGGATAGTTGCAGAAGAGACAGAGCCAAGAAAAGGGTAAGTCAGTTTCAATGTCATACACAATACTGAAGAAGTTTTAGACATACACAAAAAACAAACTTACATTTCTTTTTAACATGTTCTGCAGAGATGCCTTGATGCTTTTTGAGTGTTTTAATCCTACCCCTTCTTGGAAACATTGATAGAGGTCTTTGAATGACTTCAGGTTGTTTGTCAGGAATGGTTTGTTCTTGTGTCTCTGATACGTCTTTCCTTTGTTGAGTGTCCTGACCTTCAGTTTTCTTTATCTTCTCTGGTGTCTCTTTAGGGGTCAGGCCTAGGGCATATGCAAAAAGAGGATCAACTGACATCCTTGCCTCTTCCTTGACACCCAAATTGGTATTCGGGACACTCGGAATTGAATCATTAGTCTTCAGCACCCCAGTGTCTGAGTCAACTCTGCTCATCTTGGGACAAGGCCCAGAATCTTGGGTAGTATCAGCAGTTGTTTCCTCTAACACAAGGTGACCCGTTTTTCTCTTTCCCCTTAGAAGAACCGATTTTAGTTTATTCAACAGAAATTCACCCTTTGTTCTACCCTTTTCTGAGGAGAGGGTATCAGCATGTTTTTCTTTAACTGCTTCCGAGAATGGAGGCGTGTCTGTGCTATCCTTTTTTGAAGAATGCTCCCTTCTCTCTGGATTCAAAATCAATGAACCATTGCCATTATCCGACTGTCTCAAAGTGCTTTGTTCAAGATTAATGTCATTGAAACCAACATTTTGAAGATGGTTCCCTTCATCTTTGGATGTTGTGGCCTCTGTTTCATCCACTGCTGTTTCTGAAGCAGTGCTAGAATCTTGCTCCATTCTGACTGTGTCATGAGCATTCACAGGGGCATCAACCAACATATTTTCAGGGCACTGTTCATCTTTTGTATATTTAATCTTATCCTTTAAAGACTTAATCTGATCAGCAATATCTGCAGAGCCAAAGGGAACCAAGATTCTTCCACATTCGCTGGTAACCGGTTTCAAGTCCCAGCGCTCCGTTTTCCTCCTCAAAGGACAAGCTTCAAGTTCCATAAAAACGGTGCTTTCCAAGCTCTCTTGTCCAGGGTCGGATTTTTTATCCTCTGCTACAGCAGATCGCACTTTTTTATTATTTGACGATAGCTTTCGTCTTTGTACTTTCCTCCAATCAATATTTTGATTAATCAACTGTGGGTGGTCTGATGATTCCTTGGCCTGGTCTTCCTCCTGGCTCTTCAAGTTGTCTTCCTCCACGGCTATTTCGACTGTTTGTAAACTGTGAGTTTCAACACAGGCTTTAGTTACCTTTTTCCGACCTTTGAAATGTCCCCTGCGTCGTTTTCTACGTTTTGCTTTTGTGGGACTGGTGATCTCAGAGCAATCCAAAAGCTTTTTGGTTTTAACTGTTTCACCATTCAGAGAGTTTACTCCAGCTGTTTGTAATTTGGCTGTTGAAAAACCAGACAGCTGAAAGTCATTGTGCTTTACTGCAGAGTCTGTATTGTCCACACTTAAACTCTCAGTGACAGTTTGCTCTGCCGAAGTGATGCTGACAATCAGCTCTGCTGGAAGGTCATCTGATGTAGAGGGAGTCAGGAGATCTTTTGCCACCATATCATCAGGTTTGATCAACAAAGTCAGGTCGTTGGTTGTATCTCCAGCTTGCAAAACCTCTGGTACAACATTTTGAGACACAACTGTTAAGTCAACTTGTGCTTCAGCACTTGTTACACAACTGTCTACAGTCTCATTTATAGGCGACTTCTGGCCTGTCCACTGATCTTCTGATCCCATGCTAACAGAATTGGCTGGTGCCTCCTCAGGAGATGACAGACAGATGTAGACATCATCATCAAGGTCTTCTATTCGCTCCTCTTGTCCAGCCTTCAGGATTTCTGAAGCCTTGGACATTGGCAGTTGAAAAGAGACTGGTTTGCTCAGGTATGATGTGAAGCTCTGCCATGCCCTGTTAGTCCACTCCGGGGATGAGTAGAGGTGCTTGTGGGCATCCGGCACATCATACTGATCTGGAAAGATGCTGACTTCCCTAGAGGGACTTAATGCCAACCCAGGATTTATCAGTGCTGCGTAACTCTGCATATGCTGCGCCAAAACTTCACATAGTTCTTCACTTGGGTCAATGGGTGTTTTCTCAACTTCGCCCTCTGCATAACTTAGTACCGGTAGAACCCGCAGGATTTCAGATGACATGGCAGATTTTCTCTGTCCAAATTTTGTGTCTGTGATAAATCAAGAAAGAATACTTGTTTAAAAGTGCGACTGAGCAGGGCAAATGTCATTTCATTTAAGTAATGTGAGAAACAGATCAAATGGAAATATTCACTGTTAAACACATGCTGTAATCACCTCTCAGCATAACTCGTGAGCTTGGAAACACAAACATGCATTGCAGGACCTCAGCTGCACTGGACCCAGTATCTTGGGGGAAAAAAGCACAAAAGATACATGGCTGATATGAAGCTGAATTTTTGTTTTTAATGAGACAAAATTTGTTTTGTTGTAAGACAGACAACATAATAGTAATTTTTATATCTTACCATCATATGTGAGGAAATGGGAGGAGTGCAACAAGATAAGAAAACCACTATCCTTAAGCGGAATAGTGAGAGCCTGTGCAAAAATGAGCGTCAGGTATGGTTTTTAGATGTTGGATAGCAAGTAAAATTCAACATATTATTATGCAGTGCAAACTGACATTGAAAGTAGACCAACTGAAACAACAGAAAAATTATTAATGACAATTATTACAATCAATTTATTGTTCAAGTAACTCTTGATACCAATCAGCAGATGTAAAGTTTAAATGGAATACTTCAGGTTTCCGACTGTCCACACTGAATAAAACACCACTTGGGTGCTGATAAATGTGCATGGGTATGTGTGATTACTTTTGACATTTTATGGAAGGAATGACTAAGCTCTACAGTCTCAAAGGTTGATAATAAACAGAAACTCACAACATCTTTCTCCTTTATCTCCCACAGAAGCAGAAATAGTGAGCTGCTTTCTTCTGCCTTAGAAGAAACCAACTCAAACATACTGTAGTATAAGCCATCCAGAAAGACTGAAAGACAAATTCAAAGAGACAAATTCATCAGTAATGCGTTTTAAAAAACAAAATTATGTTGAAACATCCCTTGCAAATGTAATTCTTGCGTAATAAAACACTTTCTAACAGCACACCTTCACCAGAGAAGCAGGTTTCAAAGACAGCCCTTGGCAACAGCTGTCTCAGATCAAACATAGAAATGGCTCTGTCAACATTCACCACTGGTGGCCTTAAATGGAAAAAATAAGGCAAAACACAGAAAACAGGTTATATAATCCAAATGACCAAAGTAATTTAAGAATACTGTGTGTATTTTCAAAGAGCACATTTAACTTACAGTTCTGCAGGGATCAAGGCCCCTGCTGTAGACCTCAGCCCAACATCATAGAAGTTTGTGCCTATTTGAAGTTGACCATTCCATGGAAAGTAATGACAAACTGCAAAAAATAAAAAAATTTCAGTAAATTAAATATGTTCATATACAAATCACTGACAAATAAAACACTCCCATGATTTAAATGGAGTAAGATACTTTTATTAGTATATTGCTGTGGATTTGTTGCAATGGCATACACCCATCAGCCACAACATTATGACCACTGACAGGTGAAGTGAATAACACTTATCATGTCGTTACCACGGTATCTGTCAGTGGGTGGGATACATTAGGCAGCAAGTGAACATTTTTACCCCAAAGTTGATGTGTTAGAAGCAGGAAAAATGGGCAAGTGTAAGGATCTGAGCGACTTTGACAAGGGCCAAATTGTGATGGCTAGACAACTGGGTCAGAGCATCTCCAAAACTGCAGCTCTGTTCCTGGTCTGCAGTGTTCAGTATCTATCAAAAGTGGTCCAAAGGAAGGAAAAGCGGTGAACCGGCTAAGGCTCATTGATGTGTGTGGGGCGCGAAGGCTGGCCTGTGTGGTCCGATCCAACAGACAAACTACTGTAGTCAAATTGCTGAAAAAGTTGATGCTGGTTCGTTCGTTGATTTGCCCCCGATCACAGCCAGATGGTCGGCTAGCTCAGCGACTTGCAAATCGGGCTTAATATCGTATAGCGTGAACTAGGCTTTACAGGACTTAAAGGATCTGCTGCTAATGTCTTGGTGCCAGATACCATAACACACCTTCAGAGGTCCAGTGAAGTCCTTGCCTTGACGGGTCTGGGCTGTTTTGGCAGCAAAAGGGGGACCTGCACAATATTAGGCATGTGGTCTTAATGTTATGGCTGATCGGTGTATTCTTTAAACAGTGGTCCAAATGACACGTTTATTTGGCTGAACTACCTCATAGCAGGGCTTTTGTATTTGTTTGACAGCAATATGTAATGTACATATGGAGAAACCATATCAGGTTTGCTATTAATTACACATTACTTACCCAGTTTTTTTTCCTCACTGAAAAAAGGAAACCAGGAAAGAATTAATCAATATGAATTAAATGTTCTCAAATTGTATGAAATGGTGTTTGATCAAGCACATGGCCTAACAGAGCCATGTGTTGCTGTGGACATAGTACCTTTTCTCCTGTGATGCTATAAGTGTTGATTTGGTATCCGTATATGAAAATGATACAATGGCAAAAGGACATGCAGCGCTGGGAGATTGAGTCGTCTGATTGCTTCCATCTTCCAGCAGTTCGTACATGTAATACTGCAAGGTCAAAAAAATTTTCTTCTTAGCATGTACACTTTAATGTATTCAACAACATTGTGCTCAGAAGGAACCGTCTACACACGGACAGGTAAGAAATACACATAGATGGCACAACCACCACAACATGTGGGCATTACAACAAGGGACACTTTATTGTATTACAATACTGTAATTTTTTTTTTTTTTTTTAATTTACATGCATCTAAATTTTCTGTGCATTTGTAGCTCTATGCAACAGTGGGGTGGAGAGTAGGAATAACTGTACTGTATGATCTTCATCAACAGTCAGGTGACTCTTTTTACCTGGGTTCTCTCGAAGGCAAGGAAGGAGCTGGTTTTGGCTGAAACTGAAGGCCACTGTTCTGACACATGACAGTCAAAGCCCTCAGTGGGTGCAGTGAAATTCTGGGTGTAGTTCTCTGAGACCTGTTTAACTCTACCCTGTTGGTAACAAAAGGACAATGATTTTGTTCATACTTTGTTTTCTATGAATGAAAAAAACACAATGGCTGTCTATCTCAAACAACTATATTTTACTCTTCAATACCTTTGTCAGCCTGATGATGGCAATATATCCAGATTTCCCATGATACCAGCGATTTAGATCCAAACAGTCAGAGTACATTGATATGTAAACACCTGAGTAAACATAGAAAACTGTTAACTTAATTCATGGCTAGCTAAAAATAAACACAGAGAGGCTCATTTGCTGAGATTTGGGGAAAAACTACAATGTTTAACTCAAAGTGGCTTTTCCACCTTACACTCCGACAGCAGCAAGGCCACACCCTGATCGATGAATCTGTCACAGCTGTCAACAGGTGAACACGGTAGCCTACTTTGGGCACTGTAGACCAAAACTGAATTTACCTCAGAAGTAACCACGCAAATTGTTGTAAATCAGTAAGCTTTATGGATTTTAGAAGTTCTACAACTAAATTATAGGTTCTTAAAAGCTTGTTTCACTACTTCATATGTATCTTAAAGTAAGACATTTGGGATCTTGTTAGCTTGATTGAGATGAGTCTGACACCAGTTGGCTGAAGGATTTAGGGTGGGTGTTGCTTCTTCCACACTAAAAGCCACTTAAGCGAGGACCAGTTTTTTGAAAAAAACAAAACAAAATCTAGTTATTTTCAATAGATCTTCAAACCTCATGTTAAAATATAAAAAGTAGAATTAAAAATGCACTGAAACATGAATGAGGATAGATAGACACTTGACAATGAGTGACCTTCAGGAATGTTCTTTGAGTAATGTAGAACAGTAACTTGGAAATCTGAACGTAGGAAGCTAAACAAACTGCAAATAACTGGTTTGGCAGGTCTAGTGAGTATTCTCCTCTCCTTCACCAGCATTGTGCTGTAAGAACACTACAACATATTAGAAAATAAAACTACTAACAGTATGACCTTTCCAAATGTGTCCATAAGTCAATAAGAAATGCAGTCCTAATATTTAGATTTCATGAGTCTGTTATGAGAAGGTGTTTGAAGGAAACTGTTTCAGTACCCCTGCAATCTGCACAGGAACTAAAATATCAAAACAGGCACAGGATGTGAAGTAAAACACAGATTAATCTTGTGCAACACTTCTATATTCAATGACATGCGACACAATGGAGCTCTTGTTTTCATGTGCCACTCCAGTGTGGTTTCATACTACTGAAGAAAAACAGCTCCATAAAATGGACTTTGACCAATGTTTATACCTGATAACTTCCACATTTATCACAGCCTAGAGTGGGTAGAGAGATAACACATTTTTTGAGAGGCAACATTTCAAACTTGAAGTTATAAAGACAAACAAATTTAAGGGGTACATGTTAGAGATAAATGAGATCCATGCTGCAATGTACAGTGAAAGTCATTACATTCTGAATTCATTTTCTTTATGCTCCCTTACAACTTCATATCCTGAAATGCTGTGAACCAACTCATAGTTTCTGTTTCACATCCGACATTCTTCCACTTTCATTTGTATAGATTCATACATTCAACTTGCTTTCACTTTTAAAAGCAGCAGGGCACCACACACTAAACATGGACTATTCCTTTGTCTGCACTACAAATATAACGGACAGGATGCATGCTTGAACAATGGATATGGCAATCAAGGCAAAACCTTGGGATAAAATTCTTAAAATGAACAAGAAAGGAATCAAATAACCAGTAAGTACATCTAACTTTGTTACAACATTTGTTGTGTACTAATGCGAATAGAAATAGAACCTATCTGCTTGTTCATGGCTGAGTTGTAGATACTAAAATGTCACTGTGATCTCACTCCTGGTTTAGCATGGGGGGGGGGGGGGGAATCACATATCATTAATTTACCATTTGAGGGATCTCCCAGAGTTGTGCATGTGCTGTTTCCAGTGAGCACACCAGTTTCTCCAATTGCATTAGCCTTTAAACAAATACAAATATCAATATCAGCAAGATCAGAAGATGTGTTGGAACATGTATTCTATTAGGTGTGACTGTGCTTTAAGTCTTTACCTTGTTGACATCATCAAACAGCAAAAACCCATAAGATTCATCCAGATCCTCCTCTGAATACCCTACTTGTCTCCTCTTTGCTCGGAAAGCATTATACTTATATAAAAGAAAAAAGAAATCAGTTAGAAGCTATCAGATGTCGTTTTCATTTCATGTTTTAGGTTCCTCTCATAAGATTAAATGGCAGTTCCTATTTTATTGCATTCACTGTCCCCATTGCCCAGGTTTTCTTATGTAAAAGGACAAAATATACAAATCAGATTGTTTGGTACTGACTGCTAAAGATTAAATGAAGGGAGTAGTTATTGCATTAATGACATCATTTGGACTGACCTTTTCTTCCAATGCGGGATTCTTTATCAAGGCAGCAGACTTATATCTGAAGGACTGCTTAGACTCCTCATACAAGTACGCACTTTTAAGTGGAGCCAAAATATTGCTTTGAAAGACGTCAGAAGTTGATGACACAGGTACTAATACACCTGAAAGTGGAGAAAAATACAAACATCAGCAGGACATAGAAGCGACTTTGCGAAAATGCAGAAAACTACGTTTCCGCTCTCTAGTACTAGGGAAAAAAGTTTTCGAGTTATTTCACAAGCCTGGGACGGTCTGTCCTAGGATAGACTAAACCTAATACACGCGTCCTTTTTTCGTCTAACGTTAATTATACAGCAACAGTACGTTTATATCTCAAGTACAGCGATTCTAATCTCTGTTTCTATTAGTGAAAGTTACACGAGGGCAGAAAAAAGCTAATCACCTTTACCCGAGACACAACCATTCCCACTTTCCATTGCTGAAGACTTATGAAATCTGTCGTTCTCGCTTTGCCCTTCGATGATAACAGCTGTGTCTGGTTTTAAACATTACAATGCAAAAATCGAGTCCCACGTATCCTGCATCCAGTGAGCCTTTAAAAATAACTTCAGCTTTATCCGCAGTTTCAAAAGACATATTAATGCGACAACCAGGAAGTTAAAAAAATAACCCGACAGTCCAAACACGTAGACACAATAACATCCACTTCAATCCAATTTTTATCGTTTCACGCGAAATAAATCCGCTTTAACATGAAAGCTCATCAGTTGCCACGCAAGAGCGATGAACGCATGTATAGTCCGTATCGAAAAAGAAACAGAAACCTATCGAGGTGAAAGCATCCATCTTGAAAGTCCACACCAAACTGGTGGTGGTGGAGAGGCAGTTCAAGCCCTGCCGAGGCTTGTCTGCGCCTGCGGTTCACTTCTCCTGCCTGCGTCTCTGTTTTCCTGTTTCCAGTTAAAAATTAATGATTGCTAAATGTACAGAAACAGGCACGATAAAGCCTTTGTTTCTACCCTCCTTTTCTTTCCTCCTTTAGAAGGTTATAATGTTGATTCTGCAATGCTGTAAGCGTGTAGTGTAGTTTAGTGCAACTATACAGACTGTAGGGGAAGTTGTGATCAGTGCTAACACATATTTAGCATGTTACGCATTAAGTGCAGCTACTCTGAGTGAGCTACTTGTACAGTTTTGCCAACACCCGCATCGAGGCAGCATCAAATATAAAGGACCAAGTTTAATTTTTGCTGGTATTATAATTTAAGGTGAAGTATTTGAACTGAATAAACCATTTCGGATGGAGGTTTACACTACAGCTTCATTAAATGTCCCGTGTGTAACATTTACGATGATCTATTGGCAGAATATGTCAGAAATGGAATATAAAATTCATTAGTTCATTCAGTTTTCATTAGTGTAGCCTATAATCCCCTGAATATGAGAATTGTGTTTTCGTGACCTTAGAATGAGCCCTTCATTTGGCTGCGTTCCATTTGACATAGGAAGTTGGAATTTCCAAGTTCCAAGTCAGAAATTTCAACTGGAACGCCCCCTTAAGTTGGATTTCTGACTAGGAAAGTCGGGACACCTCACCAACCCCAACCTCAAAATCAGAGATGGCTGATCCCTGACTCAAAATTTGTGAAAACTGTAGTATTATACTGTTTATTGCACATCTGTCTGTGTACTGGAAAGCCATTAACTCGGGTGTGACATTACTCCCAGCTCTGACCACCAACTTCCGAGGTAAATGAAACACACCCGAGGGTCTACAGAGGGTCCTCTTCTACAGTAGCCAAGAACGGACAAACCAAACACCGTCTCTAGAAAGGGCATGTAGTGTTTTTCGCAAGTTTCACAGCCACCGTATTGTTCTTCTACACGCTTGGAAGGGAAGGGTGAGGAGAGGCATATTCAGTTGGTTGCAATCTGCAACCTCACCCCTTGATGCTACTACATCTTACTCATTGGAATGAGTACTGGAGTATTTTTGATGCTGACCTTGAATCGGTGTGTAACATGAAATGGTTACCAGTAGCGTCGAACCAGCTGAGAATCGATTAGCCGCCAATTATCCTTTATAACTTTAAGCCACTTCTGCTTCCTGATTTTAGTCATGTGGTCCCATACATTGCTTGTATGGTTGAGTCTCTTACCCCCAGAACTTGCAGTCTGCGGTTTTTGGCAACACAGATTTTTGCAATAATGTGGCCCCCAAAGAGTCACAGTGGGGAAAAAACATTTACGAACTACTTTTGAATTTGCTTGCAATATTTTTCATTCCCCTTAAAGCAACATTATGTAGTAATTCTATCTTAAAATAAAAGCTTCAAAATCATTCCGGAGTACCTAGTTTTGCACTATGTAACACTGGAATCCGTGTCATAAAACTGCAAGAATAGCGTAATGCTTTACAGCAAGCTAGCTCACTATTCTCAGTATGGATATCATGGCAGAGGCTGTGAAGAGACCAAAGAAGCTCTTGTTGGATGAAGCAAGGAAGAGAAAAAAGAGAGAGTGACTGAGCAGGAGACCGGGCAAAAGGTAAATAGCGGACTGACTTTTACTCATTGGCCTGAGTTAAAAGAGCTGCAAGGTGTACTAGTAAGTAATATTAGCTGGTTTGCAATGTCTGGTGTTGGTGCACTTGCTTGACGGTTGTCTGTGTTATAAAAATTGTGACTGGCTAGTTTTTGATCATAAGTAATGTAATCATAACAAATGCATATGTACATTTATCCATTTTTACGACAGCAGTGTATAAGTGCATTGTAAACTGGGGGGTGCCAATTCACACAAAAACCAATTGTTGCATAATGACGCTTTAATCCATTGGAACAGTCCGGTGTGTTGGTCCAGTCCATCTATGACAGGTCAAATAAAAAATAAAAATAAAACTGGTTCCTCCCGCCAGACTGATCCTGCTGCCAGACCAGAACTTACAAATCCAAATTGATTTGCACGCTGGGTTAGGGTTTAGACTCTAGACAACTACAACAAATTCTGACTGGAATGTACTCAGTTTTTGAACTCTATGCTTTATTGGTTGCTAGGTAGGCAATGTAACACAAACAAATGTAGGCAGCATGTATCAACCCAAGCTCTATGTTTTAGCAAGGGGAACTCCAGGAGTGTCTGGGTCATCTGAGGAAATAACATATTTAGCTGCAGCTAAATATGTCATCATAACAAATGCATGTGTACAGTTATCCTTACTTACGACAACACTGAATTACACTCTGAAACAGTAAGAGCCCCAAATCACACCAAATCTTACATAATGTTGCTTAAACTTCACAGGAAAATGTTGGCCGATTGTCTCAGTCGCTGAATAATACAGAGCCCCCTCACAGTAAATGTTGTGTCGCCTCTGATTCGATTCCAGTCCAGCTAAAATACACTGCCAGTTTAGGGATAACACTCTGCATTTACTACACAAAGGAGAGAGAATGTGACACTGTATGTTATGCATTTATAGCTCATTACTCCACTGAAAAGGCTGAGCTCCGACAGTATACACACCTACAGGCTGCGAGCACAGCTCCAGCTTCTCTGCCTGGCTTTGGTGGGTGAACTTGTGGCTGTGGATTTGATTATTGCTCAGACTTCAGTAGCATTTGTGGTCGAATCTATGATGCTCTAGATATGGCTACAATAGCTGTATTGTGGCTACTCTTTACTGCTCCTATTACTATTAGCCAAGAAAGCTTCTTTAAGCCACACAGAATTTGAACTTATCAATCAGATATGACAGATGTGTTATACAGGAATGCCACAACACAACGCTCAGACAGCACAACCATGTCAATTCACTGCACACACACAACCTCTGCATATAGCTAGTGTTACACCCATTATAAACAAATAAACTGTGTTACATCCATAATCATAAAAACCAAAGCAAAGCGGTGGCTACATCCAAAATCACAATGACGCATGTATTGTGAGGTAATGCAAATATTGCAAGTGAATGGAAAAATGTATCAAAAGGAATTCCCACCATGACCTTCCAAGGGTTAAGTATATGCCTAAATTAGCCTAATGCTTTCATTCACTGCAAACTCTTTCTCAGCTAAATTTAATCATGTTCGCATCAATGTTTAAAAATTACACTTCCTCAACATAAAATGAATGCAGACCCTGCTGTTGAAACGCAAATGATAGAGCCACAGAAAATTCAAATCCATAAAAGACACAACACCACAGATGATGGATTGGCTAGAGTAATGCTAGTTAAAGGTAGCCATGTTAGCTTTTAAAAACACAAAACAAAACAAAAAAATGTTCCTACCTGTGCACTTGGAAAAGTCATTGTCTGTGCAGTTTTGTATCATGTTAAATTAGTTAAACGTTTTCTTTAATAATTAACATGTTAGGTATCAAAAAGTCGTAATATTAATAAATTTAATCGCTAACTTAACGTTAGCTAAAATGAAGTAAGCTAGCTAGTAAATAAATTCGTTTTATTTCTTTTTCATATTTAAATAACACTCTCAATACACTTGTATTATTTGTTTTTCACTATTTGTTAGTGTCCTATTTTTTTTAACCAGTAAAATATTTAGCTTGAATGTAGGAAAACTTTAGGGGTCTCCCTCTTTCGTAGGCCAGTCGCCTACAAATCCCAGAATTCCCAGCCAATGTTTATTTGGACTGAGCGTCATTCTCAATGAGCGCTTGGCGTTTCGTGAGTCCATCGTGTTTTGAAATACGGCAGCCCTCTCGGTCTTTATTCCTTTGCTTCAAAATGAATCACATGTTCGGCTGAATCTTCGTGGTGTAAGTTAACGTTACGCAGAAGAAAACGGTTAACATGAAATGGAGATCACTCGGGCCAGACCGTCATTGTATGGAGAAATCGGTAAGTAGCTTAACGTTAACTTTACTATTGGTGACCAGCAGTAACCCAAGACTGCCTTTTAAAACTGAGTTAGCTAAGCGACTCATTGGTTGGGTTTGGAAGCTACAATGACTGGCTTTCACCTTCATTTCACGGTGAATACCTTTCACTGTCTTGTCAGACCTAACCTTATAGCTTAGCTATCCATAGATGGAATGCTCTCATAAAGTGTCTGACTTTAGTTTGAGAGCATGACAGCAAGCTGTAAGCTCGTTAGTGACGCCAGCAGGCACTGAAGTGCACATTGAGCAACTGCATCGGTCCTTCAGTGAAATGTTTGGTGCCCTGTAACAGCAAATGTGACCTGTCTTCAGATATATATGATGAAACATCGACTGCATGAATGCAGAGCTCAGTTGACACAATAACTTACACCTTACAATATAATAAAATCCAATATACTAGTATTATGGTTTCGATCGTACTATACATGAGTGATTTTATTGTGCCCCTTTCTGTGCTAGTTAATGTAGACGATCATGATCACCATTGTCTGAGAGTTTGTAGCAAAGCTTGTAAGACATGTAAAGCTTACAAACTTAAAGGTGAAGTACATTCATTACAGGATCAAGACCTAAATATATACACTTTTTGAGGAATTGTAACCTCATACAATATTTAAGCTCGTTTGTATGGTTGCAATGACAAAATAAACTCAACCAAAACAAAGTCAACACCCAGAAAATTTAACCATCCTGAATAGCCAGTCTTGTTTGGCTTCACATATTCGCAGCTCATGGTCTTGGATTCTGGACGGACCGCTCAGCAGTGCATGAGGCCGCTGCACAGGGCAGGGCCCTCCAGCTGAAGCAGCTGATCGAAGGAGGTGCAGCAGTTAATATCGTGGCAGTCGACTCCATCACCCCCTTGCATGAGGCGTGCATACAGGGACAGACCCAATGCGTCAGACTGTTGCTAGATGCTGGTGCACAGGTGAGATTGTGTCAGTGATGTGCAACAACAGACTTGCTTCCCAGAAGACTTGAGCCAAGTTGATTGCTTTCTTCATCAGTGCATGATTGACTGACAGTGTGGCTTTGTGCCTTCCAGGTGGATGCTCGTAACATCGATGGCAGCACTCCGTTGTGTGATGCCTGTGCCGCTGGTAGCCTGGAATGTGTGAAGCTGCTGCTGGAGTATGGAGCAACAGTTAATCCTCCACTGTTTACCTTCTCACCTCTTCATGAGGCTTGCATGGGAGGTATGTCGTGTTACATACATCGCACAGGAATGTGTTTTGAGCCATGTATCTGTCCGTCAAGATGTCTTCACTTCATCAGCCTTGCATTGCCAAACAAAATGCCTTGCAGCATTTGTACTGCGTTAATGCTAGAGTAGTTATCTAGTTAACTTTCTGGGAAAAAGTTAGTAAATGAATCATCTAGGCAGGCCTTAAGTACACTAAGGTCATCAGTGTTCTTATTAAATAATGCTGGAGGACTATGCTTATTAAGGCACTGGAATGCACCCCGGTGATTTCAGTATTGATTTGAAAACAGAAATAAGCAAGACTAAGGAGAAAACTTTAATGTGAAACTCCAGCCAAAATGTATTCAAGCTGACAATAGCTTCAGTAATCCTTCAGGGATGAAACTACAAACATTTTGCAGTCTTTTAATAGCCCACAGGAACTGAGTGTTGGATACTCAAAGACAGAGTTTGGGGTGTAGCATCTCTATTTCAAATGTGACTCCCTGCCTCATGGGAGTTTTCCCTTCAGCCTTGTTTGGAAAGACACTCAGCTGCAGAGCATTTCTTTTTGTTCTAAGTAGACATAACTTTCCCTGTCTCTCACAATAGGTAATTCAGATTGTGTTCAGCTCATGATTGATCAAGGAGCTTTCATGGAGGCCCATGACTGCCACTATGGGACGCCGCTTCATGTAGCCTGTGCGAGGCAACATTATGACTGCGCCAAAGTTCTCCTCAATGCAGGTAAGTTCATTTTTGTGTTTTGCACACACCAGCGGGGTAAAGCTAAAATATTATAGAAACCTAGATAATTTGCCATTACAATGTGATATTTTGGTTGTGACTATCTGTGATTCACAGAGGAAGGTGTACCTCTGCTTTTACTTTACCCATGACCTGAAAAACACTGTAACTATTACCTATCAAACAATTAACGCTTAGAGGAACCAGCGTTCCATCACATTGACTTATCTCACAGCTTTTCTGCAAACTATGAAAGTAGCTTTGTGCCTACTGTAGCTTTCAGTTGATTTGAAAAGTGAAACCCTTCAGTGTGCCAGTGCGATTTCATGTCACTATTAAACACGCTGAGAGCCCAATAGTTTAGATCAATTGGTTAAGCATTGCTTGCCACAGGGATCCACTCATCCCTCATGAGGTAGATTTCATTTTAGAACCAACTTGCTTGTTTTTATAAAGTGATTATTACTGTAGTTATAATTAGTGTATAAATACAAATGCTACAGACAAGAGAAGTACTTCTCTCTCTCTTATACAGTTTTTTGTCTTTCTTTCTCAAAGGGGCAAATGTGAATGCTGCCAAGCTACATGAAACGGCCCTTCATCATGCAGCCAAAACAAAGAACACTGACTTGATTGATCTACTTGTCTTGTTTGGGGGGAACGTGTACGCCCGGGATAACCTGAACAAAAAACCAATCCACTACACCAGCGTCGATTCTCCCTCTTATCTCTGCCTTGAGTTCTATGAGAGTAAGTTCTGTTTATTTAAGTATACATCATGTCACTGTCAGTATATATTATTTACTAGGATTCTCTTGTATTTCAAGTCCTGTTTTGTTGTCTATGAAGATTCTCAGTCATCCAGGTCATAGTTATCCAACGAAGGTTAAAATGAAGGGCAACTGGACTTGGTTGAAGCTGTTTTGTTGTATCTCCTGGAAAAACTCACGTAATTTCATGGCTCTCAAACTTTATTATATAATCGCCATTATTCAGCTAACTTATCATAAGCTGTTGGGGAAAACAATGTCAGGGCAGGACTGCGTTCCACTTATAAATATAAATACACTTGCAAAGTTGGAAAAAAAACTCCTGTGTTTTGAAACCTACATGTAGCAGGCATGGATATGATGAGAGATAAAATGGCCCCTCTGTTGTTTTCTTTTCCTTTAGAAAACCCCCTCAGTCTACAGCAGATCAGCAGAGTGGCTGTGAGAGTGACTCTTGGCACCAGAGCACGTGAAGTTTCCAAGCTGAACTTGCCCAATCGCATCATAAGTTTTCTTTCTTACTTGCCACCTCCAGTTATTGACATTGAATCACCTATGGAAAACAGCGTTTAGAAAGTTAAATCTAGACCAGTTATGTCTGCTGGCTCGATGGTTCTCTCTCTGGGAAGTCAAGTTGGCAGAAATGCAATGTCGTAACACAGCCAGACTAGTCAGGTGCAGAGAAATGTCTTAACTTTAAATAAGCAGACTGTTCACCCAAGCAAATTAAAAAGTGCTTTATTTTCTTATTAACTTAAACCTGCATGAACAGATTTTTTGACCATTTTGGAACAGAAAGACAGCCTTTGTGTATATACCATCAGCTTGTCAATGTTATGGCTAAGCTGTAAGCTAACAACTGTCTACTGATACGGCCAGCAGAAACGGGAACATCTCACCAAATGAGATGCAACCTCCCGGGGCTGAAAAAAGAAGCCAACACGGAAGTGCCAAAAGCTTCTTGAATGGCCACTTGATGCTGGCTCCAAAAGCAAGTCAATCCCCATAATATGAAATGTAAGTGTGATTTCATCATAGATCCCGTAACACCTTATTGAACCTGGAGGGAACATGTAGTTCATCACTGTATGTATTTGTATAAACACTGTAACTATTTATTTTTAATGTAACTTTGTAAATACAGATGGTGTGTTCTACTTCTTTATAAATTGTGTAAATATAGACCCCTACTGGAAAACAATTATTCAGTGTTGCCTCTTCTATTGTAATTGAACTTCAAGCATCAAAATTGGTCTTTTTTTTTGTTGTTGTTGTAATGTTGGTTTCTAAAACGGTCCTTTCAGAAAAATATTCCCTCAAAGAGCCATACTTGTCAAAGGTGCATTATAATTATGAGGTAATTTAGTCCAGACTTTTCGAACCAATTTGCATTGCTAAAATGACTACCTGTATTGATGTAATGTTGTCTAAACTTGCAGACTTTCGCTGTGCTGGAAAACAAAAGTCAGTCGAGATACAAGAGCCTGCAAATTCATTTACATAATGCATGGAAATCAATGGAAACTGCACTGGAAAATTAGGACAACACATCCAAAAACTGCATGATATACATTTGAAATTATAAGAAAAAAAAAGTATGGAGGAGGCCCTTGGGTAAGAGCTGGTTAATGTGGCTCGGGAAAGGGAGGTTTAGGGTCCCCTGCTGGAGCTGCTGCCCCCGCGACCAACCCCGGATAAGCGGTTGAAGATGGATGGATGTATAGTAAGTATACATGATTTGTACTTGTATGCATCCATGTGGATGGCCACAGGGATCTGAGGAATTCATCTTTCTTGAGAATAAACTTTAACAAACATGCAGGGCTCAATAGGGCTCAAATGAATATTTGTCCAAATTAACGCAAAAATGAAGGGCAGGAAAAAATGCAACAATTACGTTGCGAGTTTAAACATGGGTTACACTGTATAGAAATCAGCCCCTCAGAATTTCAAATAGTGGGGAGCTGATTTGTAAATTTTTGAGACAGTTTATAAACTCAGGGACATCACTGGTATCATTTATCCAAGTCCACTTCTGTAATGTTCTTAGGGAGAATTAGGCGGGAAACATTACAGTAAGTGAAGATTTCCTGCACAGGACTAGGTGAAAAGGGACCTTTCCAAAACCTTTTGGTCTATCGAAATTGGTGAATTTGCAGTAGTAAATCTGTAAATGGCTGGACAACAGTACTTTGCCTTACAAAGGGGATCTGTTCAGTTAGGCATACACTGGCTGCTGAGAATGGGCAGACAAAGATTAGTTGGAACAGACTGACATCCCCACTGTCCTTGTCAAGTTTGTCACAGAAATGACATCCAGTGCAGATATATCAGGGTGGTCGGTTAGAGAGGAACCTAGTGAAGATTAGATGATAGCAAGTTGCAGCCACATCCTGAAATGAAAATGAGAGGCACCAAAGAGCACATAATAAACGCATTCATTTGCTCTGTGACATCAAAAGTGTACGACAATCAACAGTTTTTTCACAATTTACCAAATGTGATAACATTCGTAATTTGAAAATATAAGCTGCTGTTCAATATTTTGTGCATACATCTTAACTCTGCAGCTGCTGACCTGTTGCTAATGTTCTAGTTTAAGTGCTTTTTCTTGTTTAACCCGACTGACTGCATCAACCAGTTACAGCTACTGAAATGACTTCACGCTTTTAATTTGGGATGAATCAAGTAATCTGAAGCCATTTCTTTTGTTTGTTATGCAACAGCAAATACTGCAAACTAATTCGCACATAGAAATTCTCAAGAAATACTCTTGATACCTGCCGTAGCTGACTGGGGAGGGGGGGGGGAGACACAGCATAGTAGTTAACAGATCAGGTTAGCCTAAGAATAGACAGATTTTTAAAGGAGTGTGGTAGGAAATGATGTAATGGAAAAGAAGCCACATAAAGATTTGTGAAATTAGGTCTGGGAGGTTAACTGTTTTCTTGCATAAAGTTCACAAAATGTATCACATCACTTTACAGTTACACCAATATATTTAATACCTAATCCATTTATAGCTATATCCCATAGACTGTATAAAAGCTCTATCCCTTAGTTTTGAAGGTGTTGAAAATTTTAAATATTTTCTCTTCACTGGTTGTAACCCTAACTGCTAAACTGCATGGACACCCAACATTGTCAGCTGTAAATTGCGCATCTAACAGTGTCTTTTTTTTTTCAGCAGAAATGTATTTTTGAGGAAGCAGATTTCAGCAAAGTTGTTGAGGAGCTGCTTGTGTTGGTGGTACACCAAGAGCCAAAAATACTGCAGGTTCAACGGCTGACACTGCGAGAGGCCCCCTGCAGCCATATGGTTAAGTGATCCGGCGTGCAGCTGAGCTTGTGGCAGGACTTTAAAGTGCACAGGTAGCTGTGGACATGTTGGAACTTCATGGCCCTGATCCAGTCCTTGTAACCTAAATCCAAATTCCAGACCCTTGTGCTAGATGAGTCAAACCTTCCTCTTTTTATAAGAGCAGTTCACACAGGAGGAAGTCATCTTCATGGTGTCTCAAGTCTGTCCCGCTCCAGGACAGAATTAATTCTAAAGGTACTTCCTCTTTGTGTGGTTTCATTTTTTGGTTCCTTAAGTGCTTTTGTAACCTAATAAATCTCCAGTCATTTTGTTGTCTGTTTGGATTTTAAACACATTAATGCTATACATTAGCTGTATTTTTGCATAAATAAGTCTGATCAAGTCGAATACGATAAAGCCTCCTTTTCTGATCTGGAGTGCTGACGTGTCACTCTGACACACCAGAGTTATAATCATCAATTTCACAGTCAGTACAAACGCCAGACAAATACAAGCAAAATAAGGGATATGGAGCTATATGTAAATCTAGCTTTGCGGGTATGTAAAACAACTGCTGATGCAAATAGTCCCTTCTTTAGAATTCAAATTTCTTTCAGGCCAGAAACCTGCTTTATTGGGGGAGCACATCAAGCCCACTTATACACAAGTCTCACCAAGCAGTCATGAGCATTTGGTAATAGGAAGTACAGTGAGAAAGTACAAAATCAATGTGCTTCTGAACTGGAAAAAAAAAATGTTTTTCACAGAGTTTCAGGACAGTATATCAAATGGTAAAGCTCAAGACCTTTTTAAGTGCTTACTGCCTATACAGTTGTATAATTCTAAACTGAACGTCAATGTTTTCTTCTTCTCAGCTTCTGTTTATCTTAACGTATGTTGCAACACACTGTGGAACAGCTCATAGCTCAACAGCAAAAGGAAGTGACCAAGGGGTCAAAGTACAACACGAGGATGTTAGTGTGTTGTAACATACAGTCTTGCAGTCAGTCAGTAACACTCAGGACTCTTTTAAAAGTACAAAGTAAATGTTTTATTTTTTTAAGTAACAACTTTTCACTGAATACATTTAGATTCATTTGACTTATTTTCCCCCAAGAAAAGTTTTTTCCTTATCATTTCCATGGCTAATGTTCTCACTCATGTTCTGCTCATTATCTTGTCTTTAATCTTAAACATTTTTAGACTCATCTCACACAGCGGCTTCCTGCACAGACAACTGAGACCATCGCAATTTCTCAGCTTCTCGATCCCTTATCTTGGCACAGATAACACTTAGCAACGGACAACTTGCACACACGCTGCCTATAACATAGATGCACTGACATTTTGATTACAGCTAAAGATAGTTTAAATGTGTCCAAACTGGGATAAACAATGAAACTAAATTTCAAGAGCCACAAGTGGTAAAAACGTTGCTTTAACTTAGGTAGACACATAAAACGCTAATTCCACATACATTTAGCTGGTGTAAACATACATTTAAGTCACACATCACTTTTTTTTGTAAACTAATTACACTTTTTTAAAAACTAAACTTTGATGTACATTTGGACGGAAAAGATTGGAAATACTTTTTCAGTGCAGCTACAAAGACAAAGCAAAAGCACAAAAAATAGTGGACGCAGGAAAATTCACAGACAGACTTGTGACCAAACAGGACATGTGCCCTTTGTGAACCTTTGTGTCAGGTTAAATGTCTACACTCCAGTCTGCTTCCTCTTTAGTGAGCCTTGTAACTTCTGGTCCAGTCTGGTTTTGGACAGTGTCTGAGGCCTGAGTTTAGGGCCAGAGACAGGCCGACAGTTCTCGTCTGTCTCATCGCCATAGGTGGCTGAGATGGTGGAGGAGCGACGCTTAGCTCTGACAGCTTCTCCCTGCTGAATGTTAGGCGGAGCCCCCTGTTGTTGGGTCATCGCAGAACGTAGACAGTTGAGCCACTGCTGCTTGTGGTAGACATCGTTGACATGCAGGGTGTGGGACTGGCCATGGGATGGATCTAGAGAGCTTACACGAAAAACGTTCTTAGCTAGAGGGACACAGAAAGAAAAGAAATACAGTCATCAGGCTCTTCAAAGGCAGGAAAGTCTAGGATACAAACATCTAGTGTAATGGCCTTTCAAAAATAGTTTATTTCCCAATGCCTTCAGGATTGTGAACTTTGATCCTGCCAGGGAATCCCTAGCCCAAGCTAGTGAACCCATGTACTACCCTAACTCCCCTCTATATAGTATTTATATTCCTCATTCATCACATTGTTAGAAATCACTTGTCAGAACAGCAAATTTAATTTAAAGCTTTATTTAACATTTTCATATTAACAATGGATCAAGTGACGTATGTATTTGTGAAAGGGGTTTACCGCCTACGGGTTTACAGCGATTAGCTAGTGAAACAGTTGCACATTTAGCTGCCAAAGAGTCCTATTTCCCTCAGGAGTTAGTAGTGACCATGAACAAAGTGAAACAAGAGTGAATATTGGACTTACATTCACAACTAGGGATGAAACGGTATGAAAATTTCATATCACGATTATAGTGACCAAAATTATCACAGTTATCAGTAGTATCACGGTATTGTAAAAATGTGTCAAAAAAGATTAAAATGTACTGTTCTATTTTGTATAGGCTTCGCCCTCTAAGGCTATCGCTATTGGGTTTACCCCTTCCGCACGCCTGCGCGGCACTGAGAATTTTAGTCTACGCCCACCCACAGCGTGGGCCTCTCCTACGTCCGCACCTTGTATATATACACACACACACACACACACAACGGCTCCCAATTTTCTTCAGCACTGAGCTCGAAGTCTAAAGAGCATAGAAGACAGAAGAGAAGAGAATGAAAAACAGTAATCTGCCGCAGCGAGAAGAACAATGTCTTCCTACCTGCCGGCTAGAGCGGGGCGAGGCAATGCCACTTCCGTCTGGCTGTGCGAGGTCTGCAAGACGGGCTTCATCCTGCCGGGGGATCTCCATCCCCGATGTGAGGCTTGCCTCGGCCCGGTGCACGCCGGGCGGGCATTCACCTCCGAGTCACGCTGCCCATACTGTGCTCTCCTCTCCTCCGAGGAGCGTCAACGCCGGGCGGATAACTTTGCCGTCCTTGACGAGGAAGTGTGGCAGCCCACACACTTGCTGGACGAAGTGATGGGGATGCTGTTGCCGGAGGAGCAGGAGTCGGACGACTCCGCCCTCTCCCTCACGGGTCCCCCAGTCACTCCCCTCTCCCCCCGTTCCAACCTTCAGAGAACATCGACCAGGAATCTGGCCTTCATGAGGGCGATCCCAGCCTCGAGGGGGCTCCCGCCGGCTATTTTTCAATCCTGCAGTCCACCGCCACCTCTCTGCCATCCATTGGCGGCCTCGTCAGAGAGCCCCCCGCCATCATACCTGCTTGTTCCCCCGGCCCAGGAGTTCGCCCCACCGGATGAAATGGCCGGTGTTCTCGCCCTTAGCCAGGCCGCTAAGCGAGATCTGGTCTGGCCGCGCTTTCCCCGATTAAGCAGTCATTTCAGGGTGCCCAGTACCAATACAACCACCTGTCCTTTGGTTACTCCCTGGCCACGCGCACCTTTTCCAAGTATGTCGAGACGGCCCTGGAGCCACTGCAGCGGTCTGGCATCAGGGTCCTTTTTTACCTGGACGACCTGCTGCTGCTGGCGCCGTCCCGGGACGAAGCAGTGGTGCAGACAGTCCAGCTAGTCGCTCACCTGTCTTACCTGGGCTTCGTGGTGAACTGGGAGAAGAGTGCTCCTCTTCCCTCCCACAGACTCACCTACCTTGGCGTGGTACTGGACTCCTCCCTCCTGAGGGCTCTCTCAGGAGAGGGTGGACGCTCTGATGGAGCTGCTCCGCCATGTTGTTCCGCGAGCGACAGTGGCAGCCGGTCATTAGGCTCTTGGGCCTCATGTCGGCGGCTGACGTGGTGGTTCCCCTGGGCCTTCTCCACATGAGGAGGCTACAGCGGTGGTTCATCCGCCTGCCTGTCGACCCGGTGAGACAGAGACGGCGCTGCGTCTCCGTTCCCCGGTCGGTGACTCCGGATCTGGCCTACTGGCGGGACCCCCTCTATCTTTCGGTCCCCCTGGGCAGGGTCACATCCCACATCTCGGCGCGCACTCACCTGCTCTCTATCAGAGCCGAGTACATCCCTGGCGTGTTGAACAGAGGGGCGGATATCATGTCGAGGGGAGCCCCTCGTCCGGACGAGTGGCGTCTCCATCCCGATCTGGTGGCTCAGATTTGGCTCCGGTTCGGCAGAGCAGAGGTGGATCTGTTTGCCAACAAAGAGAATGCTCAGTGCGCCCTTTGGTTTTCACTGAGCCCGCGGGATGTTCCCCCGCTGGGAACAGACGCCTTCGCTCACCCCCTTTGGCCCCCCGGGCTGCTGTATGCCTGATCCCGCGCCTTCTGGAACGCCTGCAATTTTCATCTCTGGTGGTGATTCTGGTGGCCCCGGAGCGCACCAGCGCGTCTTGGTTTGGGAGTCTTGGTTTGGGAGCGATCAGGAGCTACCCGCTCCTGATTGCCGCCTGTAGGGCTTAGGTCTCTCCCGTGAGGTGGTTCACACCATCCAGGAGTCGAGAGCTGCCTCCACTCAGTCCTCTTACTCCTCTCAGTGGTCGGCTTTCCAACGTTGGTGTCTGGACCAGGGGACGGACCCGGTCTCCTGCCCGCTGCCAGCGGTGCTTTCGTTCCTTCAGCTGCTCATGAACAGGGGGCTGGCGTTCAGTACGATTAAAACCTACACTGCCGCCGTGAGGGCTTCGGGGACAGGACTGTGTTCTCCCACCCCCTCGTGAAGCGCTTCCTTAGGGGGGTGCGAAGGCGCCGGGAGGTGACGCGGCCTTCTGCCCCACAGTGGGATTTGCCGCTAGTTTTACGTGCGCTAACCCAAGCCAAGGTGGGTGGGTGGGTGGGGGGGGCGCTGCTTACATGGCCCTGCCTTGGGCGCAGCTGATGTGGTTGCTGTCGTGACCCCGTCTGCATCTGTACAGCTGCGGGGCACCCCGCTCGGTTTCCCGTCTTACGCATGGGTTGGCCCTCAGCCTCCCATGCCGCGGCATCGGTGCTCACACGCACGCCGACACCACTGCCACGGTCAGCGGGTGACTGGGTGGTTCATTATGGCTCTGAGCAGGTGGGTTGTGCTTGGTGGTACCGTATGGGCCAGTGAGGCGTTGACTCATCCTGCTTCGCCTCTAACCCAATAGCGATAGCCTTAGAGGGCGAGGCCTATACGAAATAGAACTGGGGTTACGTACTGTAACCCAGATTCTATGAGTATAGGTGCAGCCCTCTAAGTTGTGGGCCTCACTGGACCTTAGTTCTCAGTGCTGAAGAAAAGGCACTTGGGAGCCGAAGGCTGGGTCTCACCGTTGTATATATACAAGGTGCGGATGTAGGAGAGACCCACGCTGTGGGTGGGCGTAGACTAAAATTTTCAGTGCCGCGCAGGCGTGCGGAAGGGGTAAATCCAATAGTAATAGCCTTAGAGGGCTGCGCCTGTACTCATAGAATCCAGGCTACAGTACGTAACCCCCGATACACACACTGAAACCATTTTAAGTTTTATATTGAAAACTACAAATACAATTGACATTATGTTTGCATAAAAAATAAAACAACATCAAATACCCTTTGTAAACATATGAAAATCAGCTAAGTGTGCATTATATATATGGTAATACAATGACCCTGTGCAAAATTACATGAAAACAAATAAGTCTTTAGAAGACAGTGATAGTTACTGCAATGAGCCCAAAAACTGACAACTGATAAATACAGAGGAGTCTGTAGCGTTTCTAGATATGCTGGTTGGCTGACTGAACTGCGTAACGTGTTATCATGTGCAGTGGACGAATAGACTCTGCCTACACAGGACGCACACAGAAACAGAACAACGTGTAGCGTTTTTACAAGAGCAGCAACACTGATAGCTTCAGTTTACGCGCTGTTATCAAGTCAGAGAGACAAACCAAAGCTAAAAGTGAACTCACCCTGCGTTCACTATAAGGTTCAATGAAGTTTCCCTCAGCGCTCTCATAGTGTTGTCAATGACCCAAACACACGTTGCATTCTGCGCATGCGCACCTGCTTCTGGGAGAAGTTGGACAGTGTTTGTGTTTGCCGTGAGATTATAACCGCGCGGTTAACCGTACCCAGTTATCATGGTAATTAAAATGTGTATGGTAATAATAACTGGAGGGAATTTTACCATGGTTTACTGTTAAACCGGTAATCGTTTCATCCCTATTCACAACATGATCAGGAACATGACTCAAAATGAATGATAGTGTTGCTATGTATCTGTTTGATGTGTAAATAAATTAGCAACTGTTAGCTAACACATCTGCCTTATCAAACGTATAAAAAGATCATTATACTGTAAATCGATATAAGTTTTCACAAGGAAGGCCTGCAGTGTCTTTAGACCTGTGCAACAGCAAATCTAATGTTGCAACATAGGACTAGATCCAAGTCAAGTTTAGTCCTGCACCATCCCTCCCACTTACAGCTCAGGCCATGCAGAGAGCAAAGAGGTGTCAAACACTGAAAATCCAAAGAGTCTGTAGGATCCTCTACTACCACAATAAGCCGTCAACTTATGACTGTTTTCATTACTGATTAATCTGTGAATTATTAATAATATCATTAATATTTCAAATTGCTTGGTCTGACCAACAGTCCAAAACCCCCCCAAAAATGTTTTTTCCAGTTATATAAAAGAGAGGCAAACAGCAACTCTTCACATCTGAGAAGCTGAATTCAGCATGTTAGTCATCTCTGTCGGATAAACGAAACAATCAAACACTTAAAAATATCAGTTAATAGGTGACATAAACCTTTACAGAAAATGTCTCAGCACAACTGAGTAACTGCAGAGGCTCTGCAGCTCAACCGACCTTTCTCTCCATTGGTAAAAGCCCCTCTGAAGGACCCCCCCATGCGAATCTCTCCATCCTGCAGGTCCTCTAGAGCCAAGTCACGGACTGGAATAGGCTGTCGATACACCTGGAAGCAGCTCCTGTCGTTCCGGGTCACCGGTCGGGTCAGAACCAAGAGCTCAGAGAAGAGGAACACATGCAGCCTCTGTGAAGTAACACATTAACAGAGAATGAAACTTATTTGTATATGCGACAAACAACATATGGATCATAACATCACTGCATGTGGATAGTAATAATAAGCAGAGTATCATAATTCTCACCGAGCCACTCTTGTTCCGCAGCTCTCCATGACAAAGTAGGATCTTGCAGTTGTCTATGAGAGGGTCCCGCTGCTTATCATCCAGATATTCCAGTTTGTCTATATAGTACTGGCACTCACACTCCCCGTTTCTCATGTTGATATCAGACAGAATCTCCTGGATTATAGTAATCTGGATAGTTAAAGAGACATGTCAGTTGTGCAACTTGGCAAAAGACACAAGACCAAATAATAAGTGCCATGTTATAGCCATGTTGTTTATCAGCTAAATATAAGCTACAACACTGTATGTGACTGCAAAGGTAGGTACGGTGGATAACATACAGCTCTCTCCAGACTGGGTACGTCTGGGTGATCAGGAGGAGTGTGTCTGAGGATCTCTCGCAGCAGCAGTGGGTATTTCACCAGGCGTGAACGTGGGATGTCTAAGAAGCTCCAGAGGTCCAGCTTCCTGCTGAAGGGGGACTCCAAGCAGCGCTGCAGGAAATCCTGGACCGGCCAGTCCTGCTTTTTCTGGTCCAGCAGTGCTTTGGCTGCAAGCTGGTTGCTGCAGTAGACTTTGTAAGCATTCAGGCCAGGCAGCTAACAAAAAAAAGTAGCAATTGCAATCTTTTTATATGCTGAAATTGATCATATTTGAAGATAATGGGTGTACAGTAAACATAGTGTGCTACCATACATACCCAGTCTATAACTATCTGTCCAATCTGATTGATTGTTCCATCGGGGCCAGTTCCCTCAGTCAGTTTCATCAATAAGTCTGCAGATTAAAAAAAGCATACACACATGATCAGAAACACTTGTAAGCACATAAAGAGACACCAACAAGTCTAACTATACTAGCAGCTTAAGTCCAAGTAAGATTGGTGGTAACTTGCCCTCATGTAAGGGGATGTATGCATCGAGGTCCCCAAATATTTGAGCTAGTTCCTTCTCTGTCATGATGGAGAGCTTTAGCATTGGATCATGGTATACCTAAATGTGAGAAAAGCAGCATCGTAAGCACAAAAACAAAAAGTTTACAAAAGGGAGCATAAGTGTTTTATTTCTTTGTATAAGTTTAAATAAAAATGTTCTAACCTTCCGCGCAAGTTGGAGATCTTCGATGAGATCCTGCTCTCCCCTGTAAAGCTCATGAATTGCCTGGAGAAGAAACACAACAGAAATCAAGTTACTTTCTCTGCTCTCCGTACTTTTAAGATGGCCGCGCTCTTAAGACTTTAAAAACACTGAACTACAAACCTCTTGTCTCTTGATCTCTTTGGTGGAGAATGTGCTCTTCTGATGGACGTCCAGTGTCTCAGACCACAGAGTGCTGTTTCTGCGTTTAGTGGGAGTGGGACCTGCTGTCTTGATGCTGGCTTTGAGGGACATCCCTGGTGACTTGGCATCACCACGTAATGATATTGACTAGGGGGATGGAAAAGATTTTACAGCCAAACACAAATTCTACTTATTCAATATAGAGTTGAGTGTCAGAAGAGTATAGCATTTACCTGGATGGTCTGGCCAAAGCGCCTCACTGCTCCATTCTTTGAAGGAGACATCAAGTTGACCAGGGATGTAACTTTGGCCAGGGGTCGCACACGCTTGTTACTGGGTTCCTGGGAATCACGAAAATAAAACATCTTCAGTTTCACTTGATAGTAGTGAGGTGAAAACTGGCTCTTAATTACACACTGTGAATAAAACTGTTACCAACTCATTGCACCTAATAAAAATGCTGCAGAAATAAGATATTTACTATTTCTGTCGCATCTAGGTTTTCCTTTAATGCTTACAATATAATATTTGAGATTTCAAAAGGGAACCTTTTCACATGCCCAGATCCCTTAGTTAATGTTGGGGGAGCATAAATTCCTCCGGGGGGGTTATTAATAGTTGTGAACCTTGAAATATTGTTGGCATTTAAATGTTAGGATCAGGTTTCAGTAGAGATTTCCCTCTCTGGCTGACCTAACCCCCATGCAGTGGATAATTAATATCATTTCCTCAGACAGACACTTGTGCCATTGTAAGGGATAGCGGGATTATCCTGAGCTCATAACAAACGAGAGCATCATGGCTATCTGCGGCGACTACCTGAGTCATGCAGACGGATTAAAGTTCGGTGGGTGCACCCAACAGACAGACAGGAAACTGTCCTGACTCTCACCTTGAGGTGGAAGCTGGACAGACTGACTGTGTCGTCCTCCTTCTCTTTGCGCTTTCTCTTCTGCAGCAACAAAAAAATACACACTGGTTACTTTCACAAGTCTGATTGTGAAGTCTGACATTTGCAGCAACATCTCCAATATAAATGTGTCACAGCCCAAAATACACACATGCAGGGCTCATAACATGATAGTGTTGAAGACTCACTAGACTGAAGTCCCACGGAGTCCCAGGAGTGAGAAAGGTGAAGGAGCTGCCTCTCTGCAGTGGAGGTCTACAGAAAAAGAGACAAACAAGCAATGGTCATGCACAATGAAAACTGAATTGAAAAAAGGCTTTTACTTCATTTTACTCATGTATATTTGTTGACAAAGATTTTATCATATTTGTTATGTTCTACCTCATTTTTGTGAAGTGATCCACTGTTTGGCATCAAGTGTTGACCATAAAGAAGCAAAAATCAGCCTTTAAAGAATAATGATTTTAAACAGAGCCTAATAATTATCGATATTGAAAGATATGAAACTTTTTATAAACATATCGTTTAGCCCTAAGTTCATATTTACTTTACTGCAGAGTATCAAATACTCTGCTGAGGATGTTTCTTTGTTTTCTATTGATAAACATGGACAGAATCCAATTACACTTGCAAACATGGCGTCTGAAACACACCACAAACAACAAGTCAAGGCTGTCAAACTACAGCCTGACAACTACCAACAGGGGAGGTGCAGAGTCCCTCTGGTGGACAAACTATGCATGACAACACTCATAACATGATCGAAGATCCCTCTTTCTGTCTCTTATTGTCATTTATCAGCTGTAACACCAATACTGATATTCCTGCAATTATGTATGGGTCGGGCTCTAATTCAAACATGACTGAACATCACCTGAATTTCAAAGACAACACCTTGGTTTGTTCTGGATTGCTAGCTTATAACTCCTCATAGCTCAAGGAGAAGAAAGGTTTAAAATTCTTTGATTCCAGCTTCTTAAATGTGAAAATACTCCAGTTTCTTTACTCTTCTATGACAGTAAACTGAATATCCCTGGGTTGTGGACAAAACAAGACATGTGAGGATGTCATCTTGGGCTTTGGGAAACACTGATCAACATTTATCACCATTTTCATAGAAACAAACAACTAATTAAGAAAATAATCAAAAGATAACTAAAATAATTGTTAGTTGCAGTCCTAGTTCATATGATGGATGCCTTCTGTATGCCACTTTTGTTATAGTCACTGTTTTGTTTCAAATATGTCAAACACTGTGGATAATAACTGAATAATGTTAATATTTAAAACCATATAAGGAGCTAGACCGCTCTCTGCTGCAGAAAAAGAAAATCAGTTATGGTGACAAAACAATGCAGCTACAGACAGTTACAATGTCTTCTTGTTAGTGACTGACACCCTGAGGCTGCTGTTAAGGCCAAGGTCAGCTGACCACACTGCTAAACAACATATTTCTTGTAATCCTGCCTTAAAGTCATGTTGAAAATGACAGAATTATGAGTGGATAGTGAAAGTTCCAAGAAAGTGATGAAAATAAAAGGTCAAAGTGTAGAGTAATAATTACAAGCTAATAATCACTTGGGTTAAATTGGCACTTTGTAACACAAATATTGAGTATATTTTCTCAGCCCAACCTGCAGACATTAATCTAATCTGCAAGAACAAATATAGGTCCAGTACAGGCTTAACAGCATTGACATGTCTTTCTATCTGCAACTGAGTTTATATTAGACCATGATGAAATACTATTGTGTCGCTATTCAAGCGACTGCTACAAGTGAAATACAGGCAGAGAAATTCTCCAGTCGGCCAGTGTGGGCAGGACAAACAATACAGAATGGGTAAAGATCAAATCGCAGATATTTAACATATGCTGATGTAACGTATTTCTGCATATGACTTACACAAGTGCTGAAATGACTGATCAATTGATCTATTAGACAACTAATAAAAATGCCACTGATTTATTTTAAGTAATTTCGATTTCAAAAATTCTTGTAATAGTAAATGGTATTTCACATTGTGTATTGTATATAAATAATAAAAATAATCAATACTGAAAAAAAATCATTAGTCACAGCTATTGTAGATCATATCTTCACTCTTAGTTTTACTTGACGTTATCACAAGTTTTTATTGATAAATTATGCTACTGACTACATGGTGATTCTCTGCTTCCGTTATACATTTAGTTTCAGTTATACCTTCAGTTTCTGTTACACATTCAGTTTCTTTCATACATTCAGTTTCTCTTACACATTTAGTTACACCAACGCCGTTAAATGTCAAATCGTGGTCACAACATTCGACGTTACGTCTCCCGAGCTGCACCTGAAGGCATCGTTTGCCAGTTACAATACCAGCCCTGCCCGTCACAGTTGACTAACGTTAGCTCGAAATGTGGTAAAGTTGTATTATATTGCAAACAAAGCTTACACATAAATACATACATACTTATATATAATGATATCGCCTATTTTGACATGGTCTACTTACTTCTTGGAGTTATTTCTCCGGAGTGTTTTTGGAGACGGCTCTGCTGCGCTGATGTGACTGGTAATGGACGTCCTCGATGACATCCTGCGAAGTTTACGCTTATTGTTTTCCACCGTCCTTCCACAAACTTCTTCATTTTCTTCCATTTTGGAGGAGGCTTTGTTTTGAAATCAGTTACACCGATACGCAGTTATGACCAAACGAATAAAAGATAAAACCCAGACGTATGAAAACTGGCCCGATGTGTACAAAGAAAGCATAAGATCGATGACAACAGACATACACACACTTCGGCGGAAGTTTGAATATGGCGGATTCTTGGAAATAGACCAATCAGGAGAGGGCTCAGAGCCATGAGGTGGGAGGGGCTTCTGTAAGAGGACCATGAATGTAGCATAATCATGTTATTGACTTTTTGTTTTTGGTTTACCAGCGACGAATAATGGGAAACAGGCCAACCGTAAAACATATCACGATTTATAAATAATAATATAATAATAATAATAATAATCTTTATTTGTAGAGCACTTTTCAAAAACAAGTTACAAAGTGCTTTAACAAGTGTAAAGACAATAATACCCAAGAGACAATAATACAAAAACAATACAAGATAAAAGCATGAAAACATTGACTAAAATACACGTTTAAGATAAATATAAAATTAGTAAAATACAATAAAATAAAAGGGATAAAATAAAGTCAAAGATCGGGAAAGGCTCTCCTATAAAAGTATGTTTTAAGAAGGGACTTTAAAAGAGTTCACTGACTCAGCTGACCTGATTTCCAGGGGCAGGCTGTTCCAGAGCCTCAGGGCCCTGACAGCAAACGCTCTGTCCCCTTTAGTTTTCAGTCGAGACTCTGGAACAGACAGCAGACCTCTGCCCGAGGATCTCAAGGTACGTGCTGGTGTGTATGGGACTAAAAGTTCAGAAATATAACAAGGCCAGAGGCCATGAAGAGCTTTAAAAGTAATCAGTAAAATTTTAAAGTCAATTCTAAAACATACTGGGAGCCAGTGTAATGAAGCTAAAATAGGAGTAATGTGGTCATATTTCTTTGTTCTGTATACAGTATATGTTGCAGGTAATTAAACAGTAGTGGATTGCACAACACCCATACCATCAATTCATTCACAGACAAGTATATATATTAATTCTAAATACAGATAGTATTTAGAATGCAGTACTTGCTTTTTATTTATTACTTTTATTTTCTCTTACTATGGTTATTGTTATGCACCAATTTACCAAAGCCAAACCCTTGTAGCCTATGTGAAAACTTACTTGGTAATAAACCTGGTTCTGATTCTGATAAAGGTAAGACACTTCTGGTTATTTCAGATTGTTTGCATGTGACACAACAGTGAAAATTGTATTCCAAAACAATGTGTATGTACAAATACAGAGTATTAATATTTTAATTCATTTTGATAATCGATGATTGATAAATGGGTGTTATTCATTTTTTCCTAACATTTTACAGACTAAATTGTTAACCCAATAATCTAAAAAGAATAAACATATTGAAAGAAAATGAAAAGAATTGCAGGATCAAATTGTGTTTAGTTACAGCCCTAGTATGCAGAGAAGAATTTGAAGGAAAACTGCAAAAATGTAATGAGTTTTAAATTTAATATGATTTCTATATAAATCATATTTGTTGTAGTTTCTAGAATGAACATCGTTATAAAGGAGTTCACACTCATTTAGTTTTACCTGTAACAGATTGAGGAGGAGCACTGGATGGTTTCTAGGGCACAAAGTAAAATGTAATATACTGTACTACAATGTGTTCATCAATAAATGCACATACCACCTCTGCATATGATTCATTTACTCCATTACTCATCCAATATTTATTCTAGTAGTCAGTTCTGCCATACACTTTTCCACTATTTGGAGACTTATAGCACAGCAACAACAAGACAAGACCTTATGTAAACAATATACAGTAACAATTTGACCTGTATATAGCTGCTATACGTTTGTTGTCAAAATGTTTACATATGTTAAAATTTTCATACAAGCCTGTACATAGCAGCAACATTCTGATGTTTAGCTTTAACTTTGTTTAGCTGTGTTGTCTTTGTGTCTCTGTATGTCTAACTGTTTTTTTTACTACAAAGTTATGGCCGTAGGGCATACAGGCAGGCAGGCAAAATGGCAGGTCTTGGGGGTTGGAAGAGAGTACATGGCCTGGGGGAAGTCAGCAGGAGCTGGAAACAGGGACAGAGAGCCAGACCAGGCAAAATAAACAAACAACAGAGTCTTCATGACAGCTGGGGTACGTGGTGAGTGGTAGAGAGGGGGGTCAATAGGGGCCCACATCTTAAGTCCTCCTTCTTGGTTAATGTTGCCATGAGTGCTAAACTGAAGGGCTGAAGTGAGAAAAAGTGTAAACTTGTATGACATCACAAAGAAAATAAACCAGTTTGTAAAATGTCTCATTTGAATACAAATACTGGTTTGTATTCAAAGACAGGGATGTAAAAAATATGAAAATTAATGTAATCATTTCAGTGTTAGATCAGGATGCCTGCCTGTAACTTCTCTCATGTGTATTGCTTTTGATATGTAATCTACCACTCAGAAACTATTGTCAAACTACATGTCAAATACTGGATGAAAACTGTGAGGTCTATATTTGCTTATAAATTTCTTGGATGATACTCGTGATACTTTTTGGTACCTCCATGTAAGGATCAGGATTAGATTTTATAGATACTCTGTGAGCCTGTTGGACCGTCCTCTATTGGCAGCCCGACCATCAGTCAAACATGACTTGATGAGCTCCATGGACCATATAGCTCTGTTCTTCATGAGCACATTATCCCCTTAGTGGAGCCATCCATACCACTTCAATCAGCAAACCTGTCGGTCACATGAAATATGGTGCCTGACATCACTGCTGTAGTGTCTTCATGAAGTCAAGGTGGAGAGACCATTTTGAAATTGGATGAAATAAAAAAACAATTCAATGGATATATTTGACCAAACAATCCCCTCTCAAGGTCCATTCAGTAGCTTTTTGGAGCTTGCAACTGTACCTCACAATCTTCCTTAGCAGATGTTTCTCCAGTTGTCCTGAATTCTTTTTTTGAGACTGAAAGTTCATTTTTGAACTCGGAAGCAGTATTTGACAAAACAATCTCACCACAAGGTCCATTTAGTAGCTTTTCTGGAGCTTTCAGTCGTGTACAGTCAATCTTAAAATTTAAAACAACATGAATGAGAAGTCTATGTGTTTTAAAAATCTACAATCCCAAGACAACTAGTCAAACACTGTTGAGGAAGACTGCGCGATCAAAAGCTCCATAACAACTACTCAATAGACTTTGTAGTGAGAATGTTTTGTCATCAGCTGTTTCCAAGGTTAAGAACAAACTTTCACTCACAAGTCATTTATTTGCTCCATTAACAGGTGATCAGACTTTTAAACAGGTCTTATGTGATGTAATAACATGTTATGTAATATATTTTAAAGAAATAAATCAGGTTAAATGAGGCAGATGGTTTGAATGCAGCCATTTCTATTCATTTCAGCTTAAGCTAAAAAACCTTGATGCTGGTGAGTGTAACAAAGAAGACCAGGGACATGTAAATGTGAGGTAGCTGCAGGTAGCTGCACTGAAAAGCTTTATTGAAATGTAGTTATTTTATCCGACATGGTTTAAGGACAAACATCTAAATATTATTTTACATGTTTATTACATCGAAATACAAGTAAATTTCATAAATATGTATAGCAACTGTTGAGTGCCCCAAAACTGTATAAAGTATTGTCACTTACACTTGTTTGTTTTAATACAATCTAAAAAGCATGCAAGTAGGTGGTAACAGACTTATGTCAGCGATTTTTAAAATTAAATCAATCACTTTTTCATTTCCTATCAGATCAAAGTCGAGGGAAAATTCAGGTCAACATAGGAAAGATGTTTGAGTCACGGAGAGACCCCGTTTTGTTTTAAATAAAAAAAAAAACGACCCAGAGTTGATTTTCATCCTATTGGACAGGTAAACTAACATTACCACAAAGCATGTGAATATATTCTGATTTTGTGTTTTAGTTGGCTCGAGTTTGCTAACATTAGCTTACCGGCCTTAATGTCGCCCCGTTGCTAAAGTTATCCATTGAAAAATATTATAGTTGTATCGTTTGCCACTTTACTTCACTAGCTAACGCGACCTATATTACTATCCTGTGTATCATCAGTATTATGTCAGAGTGTTGATTTTAGCCTGCAAGAAATAATGTAACAGTACAAAGCAAATGTGGAACAGTTTATACAAGCCAACAGTGATGCAAGGCAGGGCCAGCTAGCTAGACTAGCACGGATCTCAGATTCGCCGGTCTCAATCGCTGTAATTTACATGATCCACATAATATACAATAATGCAACATAAAAGTGCAACACAACAACATGGTGGAAGACCCATTCACTAGAGTAATGTTACTTACTGCGGTCTAATTGTTATACCAAAGTTTGGCAACAATCTCATTTATAATACTAAGTCTAGCTCACTAACAGTTTCATCCAATACATTTAGCTGTGCTGACATTGCTGAGCCTCTCCGTAAATGATACACAAATAGTTATTAAAAACCCGGCAGGCAAGCTAATGTAACGTACAATCACACAACCATAATGGATTAGTTCAATGTCAAGCTGTTAAAATATTACTGTAACGTTGTAGTGGGAGTTTGCCTGAGTTTCCAGCATTTCGTGTGATGCCATCTCTTGTAGGTCAGTCTCTGTTTTGGCCGATGTGGAGTGCTCGCTCTTAGTTCGAGCACATGCAGGAGTACACGCTTGGAGAGGTGGTTGCAATCTGAAACCTCACTGCAGTGTGAGACTAGCTTTTAAAATACAAAAGGCTGTTTTCTTCCGCTTATAAAGGAAAAGTTGAATTCAAAGGCACTACAGCTACACTCAGGGGCTTTGCTGCTACAGCCTTACTTGATATGTTATGACAATTAGCTGGTGGTCATAACATATCGACATATGGTGGCTAATGTTAGCAAACTTTAGGTATTCTTGTGTAACTTACATCACCAATTCTGATTTCTCTACTTACTACTTACACAATGCTTTTGCATTCACCATCATCTCTTAATTGGCAGTTATGGCCACTGTTCAGGAAGACTTAAATATTATATATTAAACAACTACGGAAGCCCTAAGCAGCCATCCATTAAATTTTTATTAAAGTTTACAGTTTTCCTGTGATAACAGGATAATTATCTTGGGATCTTGAGATAACAAAACATTGCTGAATACAGGGGTCAACCTGTGTATTTCTTTAGGATTAGTACTTTTCAGTGTGACTTGTTAGCTCAGTTGGTAGTGCACAGGACTTGTAATCCAAGATTGTGTGTTTGACCCCTGCTTTTAACAACTTTTTTCTTCTTTTGTGTGTTTTTTATTATCCTCTTCAACAAAGTTGTTATGAAGAGATTCAAGGGAATCCATTCATACATTTCCATGGTTATTTCAAAGGTTCTGAAATAGCAGTCAAGAATGTGAAACATTCCCCTGAATGAGAAGCAGGAATTTCGTCTGCCTGGGAATGATGGGGAAATGAAAAGTACATAGGTTGATGGATGTAGACCAATCCCTGGGATGCACACAGTCCAGCACATGCTTTTTTGTGAGCATGTGAAACAGTCTCTCCATATGAACTTTCTTGAAGAGGATTATGAAAAAAATAAAAGAATAAAAAGTTGGTGTTCAGTGAGGATCAAACCAACAACACTAAGAATATGAGTTATGTGCTCTACCAACTGGGCTAACCAGTAACACTAACATTCACACTGAAATTACAATTAAACCATTGTGATATATGGGTGTGTTTGTGTTAAACTACTGTTTCATTATCTTGATATCTTGAGAAAATTATCCCGTTATCACAGGAAAACAATATTCGTTATCTCGAGATAATTATCCCTTAACATGGGAAAACAGAATAAAAAAAATATTTGAATAGATGGCCGCTTTGGGCTTCAGAAAACAACAAAGCTTATGGGTTCAGAATTTATCAGTGAAAGTGGATTCATGATGCATGTATGTTTGAGTCAGAGACACAAAGATGGAGAAACAGATTTAATAAGAAGCAGGTTGCACCTGTGACCAGTGAATGAAGTAGGAGAGTAATTTATACAAATGTGACCTACTTTTTGGTATCACAAGAACATCTCATATTTCAGTTTATTCATATACAACGTCTGCACATGCTGATAGTCCACCTCCCAAAACACTGATTTCATATGGTGCTAGAGACTGGGTACAAACATCTATGTCACCAAATGAAATCAGTTTCTGAGTGCAGTCCTCAACTCAACAAGTCATCCGATTTGATAGACAGCATGTTAAGCTTGAAACATGCATTACAAGACATGTTGGATATGGAAAAAAGATCCTTGTGATGTTGTGTAATACGGAGCGGTGAGCCTCGTGTTGCTAATTGGATGCAGATGTAGGTCAAAAGTAGCTGTTGTTTGAAGAAGGCAGCTGTCTGTAGTTGTTCCTCTCCCTGCACGATGGTCCATTCTACAAATGAACAGCAGAGGGTGTGGTTACATTGAAAGCAAGAGTCAAACTAGTGACCCAGTGGTGGAAGAAATTTAACCTCATGAAGTTAAAAGGGATATTTTTGTAGCAACAGGCAGTGTCAGCAGAGCTTGTAGGAAACCCCCTGGTGTCTCCTGGTACTCCACCTACCTAGGTCAGCAGGCCGCACCCAGAGTCCTTTGCTAGAGACCAAACTCTTCACAAACAAACATCATTACAAACAGTCAAATCAGGTGTCAGACTGACATGGCATTGTACATCATGATACGTCTGGAAAGAAGTTGTCATTTTTGTTAGTTTGTCATTTTGGAAAATGTTCCTGCTGAGCGTTAGATGAGAAGATTGGTAACTCTTAAGTCTGTGTGCTAAATATGAAGCTACAGCCAGCAGCTAGTTAGCTTAGCTTAGCTTAGCTTAGCATTAACCCAGAAAACAGAGGGAAACAACTTGCACCTCTAAAGTTTCCACATTAACACATTATATCTCATTTGTGTAATTCCTACAAACATCTTTACAGGACACAATGATTTCTGGCACACGCAACCCCATAAAACCACAACTAGATTTCTGTTCTGATTAAACAAACAATATGTATGTTAATTATTAAGCTTCAGAGGTGCTGGTAGCTGGATTTTGTAACCTTTGGACAGAGTCGGGCTATCTGTTTCCCTTCCAGTCTTTATGTTAAGCTAAGCTAAATGGCTGCTGACAGGGGTAAACAGTTAGTCTGACTGTCCGATAGAAGATAAACAATTTTTACCTACCAGCACCTCTAAAGCTTATATAATGTGTTAATTAGTCAGCTTTAGAGGTGCTGGTGGTTGGACTTTGTAACCTTTGGACAAAACCAGGCAATAGCTGTTTCTCCTTTTATTCAGTCTTTATGATAAGGTAAGGTAGCTGGCTGCTGGCTGTAGCTTCATTTTTAAGGGAAAGAAGAGAGGGGTTTCATTCTTCTCCTCTGTCTCTCGCCAAAAATAAAATCAGTCATCCTCTTACAAGGACAAATCCTCCATTCAGGTTTGTCTGAAATATCAAAGAAGGTTTTATGACATTGCTGCCGTCTATAAACTACTGCCATAATATGAAAACATAGAAATGTGACAGAAAACTGGAGGAGAACAGGAATAGGATTAAAAAACATGCTTTATGGTTGAATAAACATGATCTATAGAAATAACTGAGAGACTGTTGACATTAAAGGTGCAACATAAAGGTATAGCAGGGCTAATAATAATGCTTACATCATACTAGCTATGACTCATGTTTGTTCCCAAATGGTTTCATTCGAACAGGAGCTGAGAGGAATGAGGGTTTATCATCTGACACACTGCTCATCACATCTACTCTTCCCCTTGCTTTCTACCACGTTGATGGGATAAATCTCATCTAAATAAACATAAACACGACACTGACAAAAAGACAGGATAATATATGTTTTCATTCAAGGAAAAGATTTGTCGCAGAGCAATCTTGCCACATCACACAAAAACAACCCTGGATGAGTTAAGAGAAAGGAAATTAAATTCTTCCCTCCCCTAGGTTTGATGGTAAATGCTCTGTGTCAACAAACTGGGATGATGACTGAGCCACAGCTAAATTAGAGAGACCCCGAGGGACTTTCAAAGAAACTGTAGTCATCAATTTGTCTCTCATTGCTCCAATATTTTTGTCTGTAGTCATCAAGCTTCCAAGAATTTAGAGGTGAGTCAGTCAGTCATCACTCGGATATGAGGAGCAGAAGTCGGCGGAGACTCCGCTCAATGGAGGAGGAGGATATGATGTGTATTGTTCCCCTGTGCTCTTTCTTAAGGTGGTGTGTATCTCGTTGCAGCTTCGTATCAGAATAAATGCCCTTCAGAGTGCTTAAGTGAGTTCACACCTAGGACAAACTGGGCAATTATTCTTAATGGCAGAAGGTATAACCCCACTATGTGCAATCATGTGCAATCATGTGCTCGTGAGGCAGAGAGATGAGGAAGGGAGGAGGGAGTGAATCTAGTAGAATGGTTTCCTATTCATCATGGCATGAACACAGGCTCAGAATTGCCACTTAGGTTCCTGAAGTATTGACTGATGAATTAGGGTGAGGGGAACATGAGCCAGAAACAAATTGGAGTGACGTAAACCAATGATTTGAAGCATTTGCCCTCCAAAATGACACTTTTACTAGTCATTAAAGCAGAAAAATCAGGTACCTCCCTCAGGTTTAAGGAGCCATTTAATATTTTGGGAAATTATATTGACTTTCCAGTCTAAAGATATATTGAAAGTTTGATCCTGCTCTCGTATCTCTTGTATCTCACCAGTTAGCCTAGCACAAAGACTGGAAACAGTGGAAAAAGTTAGCCTGGCTCTGTCTGAAGGTAACATAAAGCTCACAAATCAATACATTTGTTCCATTTGTTTAATCCATACTAAACCAAAGTGTTAAAACAACAAGCTGTTGTTTTAGTAAGCTTTAGAGGTGCTGGTACTGCGGAATATGTTACCTTTGTACAGAGGAGACAGGCTAGCTGTTTCTCCCCAGTCTTTATGCTAAGCTGCACTAACCAGTTGCAGCTTCTTAATTAATAGACAGTGGTAATAATCTTCTCATCAAACTCTTGACAAGAACGCAGTAGGCTTATTTCCTAAAATATATAAAGTCCATTTAAGTCTATGATGTCAACACTTCAACTGCGATGTGCTTCATGTGCTGAGACAACAGCTCTCCTACCTTAACTTAAAGGAATCAACCTTGTGACAGATGAGTCATAAAAAATATTTCCTTTGCTTTACATTTTGAAGAGGCAGCGGTGGACAGTCTCCTGGTGATGGTTATGTATGAAGACAAGTGTGCGAGACAAAAACAGAATGGAAATTGAATTACTTAAATGAATAAATGTCATCATATTTGATGTTGGAGGATGAGTAAACAGGGGATTTTAGAGACTTGTTCGCCTGCCGTTAATTAGTCTGGACCTTTATCGCCTTGCCTGAGATCAGTGACTATGTGCAGACAAAGGAAGACTTCATCACAGGAAGGATTTAAATGACAGAATGAGGTTTGCAGGGAGTGTGTTCTGTAGCTATATATAAACCCGCACCAATGTAGGACAGAATCCAGGTGTGGTCACCTGGCAAGACAGCAGAATAAAGACAGAAAGTGCCATATGGACACACACATACCCAAGATAATTTAGCATAAAGGAAGGATGTTGAGCTTTTAAAATCAATCTCACAGACTCACAAAGTGGCATTACATTTTTCTGAGAGTACAGACAGAGACAAAAATGTGAAAGAGTTAAGAGACAGGACTGTGTCTAATGCTTTTATCTTTGTATTTGAGATCACTAGATAGCAACTTACAGAAGAAACTTCCATGCTAGATCTCCTCATGGAGAGATTGCTGATTCATTTGCTTCCACCATTATCACAAACCTGTTCTTCTTGTTTATAGTAGAGTTTCTTTTCTTAGTAAACAGGTAAGCATTTACTTTGTTTAAACAAGCCTTGAAAGCAAGTTTTTCAAGATATGATAGAAGTCAAGTCACCCAGCATAGCTACAGGTGCTTCAAAAATAGACAGAAAGTGAAACTGCTATGTCACTTTGTGTAACATCCCATTTCATGACGCAATTTATCACAAAAGTTGTGAAAGAGTAGAAAGGTAAATAATATAAAAAATTTGTCTTTACAACACTGAATAACACAAAAATGAATACATATATGGGCACAGTGACACTAACCTGTTGCAAAGGATCTGTCATCTCCCACACAATGCACTATTTCCTCTCTGGAGACACTTGCTGCTCCGACTGAAAGCTTGTCCCGCCCCGCACTGTACTGAGGTGTACTGTATTACTGCACTGTAGGTGCTGTAATCCTCACGGTTGTCTTCTCTCTCTGTATGGGTGTGTTTGTGTGTATGGACGCACTGAGCGGATGAGGACTTATAAGATGGAGATGCCAGGGAGAACACAGCCCCCTCTACTCTCTCTCTCTCTCTCTCGCGCTCTCTGCTCTTTACAGTCAGAGTGAGCTGTTCATCCACCACTCAGCCAGAGTCATTATTGTAACTGTGAGTCAACACGGGCTCCCACACACACAAAAACACACACACATGTTCGTTCCCCTATCCCTGTGGGGACATCCCTTTTTACATAATGCATTCCCTAGCCCCTTAACCCTAACCCTAACCTAATGGTAAACTGAACCTTAAAACCAAATCTTAACCCTCAAAAAGTAGTCTCTGCTCATGGGGACCTACATTTTTGACAAAAGTCCCCATGATTTAGTGTGCATTCAGGTTAAAGTCTCCAACTGACATAAGAGCAACACACACACACACACACACACACAGTATATTAATATCTATATTTTCAGTAAGTTATAAGGATGTAAACACTGAAGGTATGAATGTTTTATAAGCCTTAGAAACCAGTTCTCACCAGTGGTGGAATGTAACTAAGTACATTTGCTCAACCACTGTACTTAAAGCTGGGGTCGATAACGTTAGACCTCCCTTCTGGCCTCCCTCCAAAGCCACTCCCCCCAAAACAGTTTTTTATAGGCATTGAAATCACGGGCTGAGCGCGTGCAGGCTGCTAGACAGGCAGGTAGGGCAGGTAAGCCCTGCTGGTTACAGTCCTGCGGCAGCCACAGATTCTGGATTTTGAGTTAGAGCATTTGATGTATTAATTGCTGTCAGGATATAGGAAGAGAATTTCAACAAATATAACACAAAATGCTTCAGAACTAAATTGCCTATCCTAGCTTTAAGAACTTCTTTTAATGCCACTTCCTACTTCTACTCCACTACATTTCAGAGGGAAAAACTTTACTTTTCACTTCACTAGATATATCTGACAGCTTTAGTTACTTGTTACTTTACAAATTAAGATTAGGAAAATTAATTGGCAACTATTTTGATAATTGTCTCAAAGTCTTTTTTAAGCAAAACTATTTAATTGATTCCAGCTTTACAAATGTGAGGGTTTTGAGGTTTGGACTGGTTGGACAAAACAAGCCTTGTGAAGGTGTCACTTTGTGACAGCATTTCTCACTATTATAATACACTAATATTTACAAACTAAATAATCAATAAATTAATAGAGAAAATATTCAGCAGATTAATCCATGATGAAAATAATCATTAGTTGCAGTCCGATACAAAGTAGTTAAAAGTTAGCTGCACCTCAACAACTACAGCAAATTCCTGCTTTTATATTAATGCCTGAACAATAATAATCCAATGATAAAATCAGTCACAGGAAGCATTTTTCTGCATTGAGTACTTTTAATTTTAATACTTTAAGTCCTTTTCCTGATTATACATATATATTTTTACTTAAATGACATTTTCAATGCAGGACTACTTTACTTAAGTAAATACTTCCGCCAGCCCTGGCTCTCACAAGATAATTAACCATACAGGAAATCAAAATTACAGTATCAACTTCTTCAACTCACTCACTCTCTCACAAACATCACACACCCAGCATGACAAAGCACCCTTGCTTTTACCAACGCAAACAAGCAATTACTCCATTTATGCACTTCACCCACATAATCCTCCAGAGCTATTACCTCCATGCTTGTACATGAGCAGCTCCAAAATGCTGTGAAAACACCACACAGCAGTATTTTTCCTTTGTTTCCCTAATTTACGACTGGATAAGACTCCGACCTTCAAATGAGCATAATAAATTGTGTGCAGAAGAAGAGAACAGGAACATAGTTTTGTTAAACTAACCACAACTTCAAGTATCTAATTATTACCAGAACAGCACAGCTTATACAATCTCTCTAACTTCCTCCGTGAGTAAAACCAAACAAACTGGTAATTCCCCGGCCAAGGGGGAAATGGACAGATGAAATAGTATCCGCATGGTGACGGCAGGTGAGAGGGCACAACTCACAGAGCAGGAATCTCACCCTGTGTTCGTCTGCTGTGACAGGAAATGGAATAATTGTTCCTCTGTCAAAGACCAAAGCAACGTATACATGCATACATAAGCCCAGCCCCCCCATTACCAAACACGTGCTTCTTTTACCAGTATCCATTCCTATATGGTGAGTCAGCTGACCACAGGATGAGTGGGTCCTTCTCTTCTTTCATCTGTCCATCCCGAAGATGCCAAAGGAAGTGGCTGTGAGGGCTGAGTCACATCAACTTCTCACCCTGGTCTCACCCCTCCTCCTCATCCCTACAACCACATCCACACTCCTGCTGTCAGTCATCCAGCATCCTCCTGCAGCGCTGTGTGCACGTGCAACTACTCTTTCTCCTCCTCTTACTTACTCTCCTATCTTTCACTTTAATGCATCCTTCGCGCTGTGTGTGAATCCACAGCCGCAGCATTTGCAAGGAATGCCTCTCTAGATGTCCACAGTCCTGCGGTCAGCCTCCACCCGCTACCCAACATCCTGACCATCCTAGCACGATCTCCAATCATCACCAGTGGACAGCTCTGCTATAAAGAGCAACTGAAAATATCTCTCCTTTCTTCACTCTGACGCACTCAGTGTTTCTCCTCCTTCTTCTTCTATCGCTTTGTTTGTGTAACTCTGACAACCAGCAGACTTGAGCTATATCGAGGCTATTCCAGTGCAGATCCTGTAATGACCCAGCCTACTGCACTGTCAAATGCTCCGCTTTACATCACAGTCTGCATTGAACTTAGAGCCACATAAAGACAGCCTGACTGCCTTGGTGGGTGTTAACCTTTGTCCTTGTTGAGGGAATGTAAAGCAGAAGTTGAAGTATCCGAGTGGAATTACAGAAATAGTTTGACTTTTTGGAAAATATACCAATTCGCTTTCTGGCTGAGAGTTAGATAAGAAAATCGATACCGCTCTCATATACAGCTATAGCCAGTAGCTGGTTAGCTTAGCTTGGCACAAAGACTAGAAACAAAGGGAAACAGGTTCTCTCCAAAAGTAACAACATCTGCCTAACAGCACCTCTAAAGCGCGCCAATTAACAAAATGTCTTGTTTTATAAATGGTACAACCACCAAAGAATAAAAATGACAAGTTGTGGTTTGTGACGTGTCTTACTGTCACAGTGAGGTTTTCCAGGCAACCAGCAGAGACTCCAGGAAGTTAAGCTACTGCACACAGCCAAGAAATACTATGGCACGTAATTTCCTGTTAAACAATGTGTTTTTTTACACTTTTACACAGCATTCTTTATGCTAAGCTAAGTGGCCACTGGGTGTAGCTTAATATTTAGCGTACAAACACAACAGTGGTATCAATCTTCTCTTCTAACTCTTGGCAAGAAAGATGATAGTTGAATTTTGCAAAATGTCAAGCTATTCCTTTAAAGTGGCTATAATCAATCAACCAAATTATCAATCAGACTAAAATGTGAGCTAAAAGAGAATGAATATTGGACTTAAATTCATCAAGTGCCCAGAAACATGACTACAAATGAATGATGATGTAACTATGTTACTGCTGGATGTGTGAAAAGCAACTGTTTGCTGACAAGTTTATCATGTCAACTTCAAAGATATGTCAGTGTTGTGTTCACACTTGTTTCTGCTGCCCCACGTGGCCAAAAATTATTGCAGGTTTAAAGTGAAAACATTTAAACTTGACTGAATAGTGACAATATTATTAACAATAACACATTTTCCATATTTACTTTTAAGAGTGCAATTTAAAAGGACTGATAGGGTGGGTGAATGGTAAAGGATGGTTGCCACTGAAGTGCAGTGCAGACAGACTGCACAAAGACTGATTGTAGGATGTTGGCACAGAAGGGGGAAAATGGGTTAGAGATGGAGGGTAAGGAAAGTCTTTACCCAGTTAACATTAAGTTGCAAAAACAGCACTGCTGCATGGTTACTGTATGTCTCTGCATTTCAAGTGGATTATGTTGCACCTACTGTGTATAGGACCTGTGCTTGGTGGGCTGGTTAATGTAATATCCCATCAGATGTCACACTCTCCCTAGGGTTCAGCCAGCAGGCAACAAGAGAACACACACACACACACACACACACACACACACACACCCCAAAACAAGTACCATTATATAACAATACTACTGGATTAGTCTGCAGGCTTGTCCTTGGTAACAATCACTGTAGCACCACAAAAGGACAGGATTGCATAACAACAACCTCAATGCCTTTCAAAAGCAGATTTCAACCTGCACAGTACAGGTGATACTGTGAAGAATTGGATGCTTGGATCTTTATGTTTCAGTCACCAATGTTATGATCAATATAGTGTACATGCAGCCCTGCAGCTTTGCATTTAGCATTGTTTTGTTATTTCAGCAAAGCCAAACGCACACTTCCCCACACCAACAGCAAAAGAGAATTAGTATTGGCCCTTTCTGCCACCAGCAGTGCCACCGGCACATTCTGTAGCAGTTAAGAGTTTAACTGACATTGTTACATCCACCAAGCCAAATCTATGACCAAGCAAATATTCACCAGCATCTCTAATAACTAGCATCTAAATGTCCTAATGGGTCTCACTTGTAGATGCTCATTTTCTTAAAGCTATTTTGTGACTGCTGTTTGTAATTTAAGATGTTAAACTAATCTTTCTGTAATAACCTTAGTGCTAAACGAGCAAGCCTTTATACTAGCTGTCTGGAGCTAATGTGTTGCTAACACATAAATCTGTTTCTGAACAAGTTCTTACTGAAAGAGAAGAAATATTTACTAATATTTATTTGATACTTGCTTTAATGCCACAGGAATGATCCTGCAGGTATGCTATAATCTAAACATTCTGCACATTTTACAGAGAATCCAAACTCCCTGAGTGACTTTGCAAGTATACATTTTCAATATTAAAAAAATTAACACTACATGAATTATTTTTGATTTGGTAAAAGCAAAGGTGGTTATCATGTACAGCCAAGGCAAAGGATCATCAAGACGGAAGTGTCAAGGGAGCTGAGAGGACGGGAAGAAGGCCTCACCAGCTAGAGAGCATGCGGGTACTACTGGTGACTCCAGTTCACCTGGAGCAGATCGACATACAGGCCCTGGGGC